TATAACATCTGTTTTTCTGGAACTTATCGCTTAAAAGGAACAGAAGTTGGTGACTGCTTTTCTAAATTGCTGTTAACGTAAACATTTGACCAGAGGTCGGAAAAACTACATTATTTTTGTCGTCTACCTCTTTTTAAAAATGTACTAACTATAAGCTGCTTACAGCTTCACTGCTTTAAGGACAGCAGCTTTGCTGGAGAACTTAGTTTTCACCTGTGCTAAAAATGGTTTTAAATAATTAATTCCCTTACATTAAATGTATGGATTAATTAAGAAATTTTTATCCATGTTTACATGAGCTTGTTTATTATTCTAAGACAGGGGTTTCCAACTTGCATGGGGCCGGGGGCCACAATTAAAAACACCAATCAAATGGCAGGCCGTAACTTTATCAAAATTTTATATGGGACTCTTTTTATGTCCGAAGGAACATTAAATATTACTGTCAGATTTTCATCAAGTTGTGCAAAACAAAAGTATTGAATTACAAATTAAAATTAGAAGTAGATTTTTAAAAATATTTAATTGCATATTAAAAAGTTCTGGCTGCAGTAACTTTAATGTGCACCTATGTATTAAACAATTAATGTGCAACAGATATCAAATTGTTAAGATATAAAACTTTAAAAAGGTTGGTATTAGAACTTACATAGTATCACACAAAATGTTCAGTGAGGGAAATGAGATTTGTCTGCTGTACTTGAATTTGAATGGAAACTTAATAAAATAAGGATTATATTTTGCTTTTAAATATAAAGTTTTTTTTTTAATATTAAAAAGCAAAATAGCAAGCATTACAAATAATTTTGTTACGTATCGTTTTGAATCTTCTCTTAATCAGAAACTTAGTGACAAGATTTTTTTTTCTTCTTTTAAATTTAATCATGTGATAAATTAAAAAAATTTTCCAGACATATTAGAATTTATAGAAGAAAAGAAAAAAACTTCTCGAGCATTTTTTCCCTGCTCACTCCCTATTCGATTCAAAGAATTTAAATAAATATGATATTCATTACCTCCTTTATGCGTTTTAAAATATACAAATGTAAATAATTTCATCCAAAGTTCGTGGTTTCAAAAAGTTAAACCGGCGAATTTCTTCGAGAAAATTTCTGAGACGCACATGCTAAATTATATTCTCAAAATACAAAAAAAACGAAATAAAAAAGAGCAACATACACGATTATTTTTGTATTTGAATAAATATGTCCTTGGATACAAAACCTGAGAAATGATTTTTTTTTCCACTGTTGGTATGTTAAATTTCACAGATACGAAGAGATTAGTTTTTTTTAACGAAAGAAAAGTATTTTAAACCCATATAGATTTTTTACGAAAATTGTCCACAAAAAAATGACAACTACTAATATATTTTAGTTCGTGGGCCACAAAAAAAGGCTTCCAGGGCCGAATGCGGCCCGCCGCCAGTTGGAGACCCCTGTTTTAAAACATACTTTTCGAATTTGCTGATTTAACATTCAACTTTTTATGCTATATTCGACAGCGAATATTTAAGAAATTCGAATTTATTAAATACTTAAATTTTTTTGATTGTTTAATGCTTTTATTTTCTCAAAAAAATTAAACACATCGAAAATACATTCTCTTCTTCCGAAATAATATTGATTACACGAGTCAGCATAAGCATGTGAAAGTGTGACCTGAGTCATTAATTTTCTATTGTTCGTAATGGCTCGTTTAAATATTTCTTATACGTGATTTTAAATACGTAATTTCCATTAAAGCTCAGCTGCAGCCACAGGGTCATTTTTGTGGCAGCCATTTCACTATATCCACAAAAAATAACATTATACGTGTGTACAATTCGTGAGCAAACATTTCGTTCACTATATCCGGGAGTTCACTATAAACCGTGCTCACTATAACGGGGTTTGACTGTTATAGGAAAAGTGGCGATGCATGTTTGGGATAAAATAAAAACATTTAAAATCGCAGATAAAATATTTTTATATTCTTTTGCATCGAAGTAATTTGTAGTCCAAACATTATTGTTGTTATTATCCCAAATATAATTAAATGGAATAGTTAAAGTATTGGAAGTACAAATTAGTTCGGTCCGTTTTCAAGAGTTGGATCTGGCTGTTATGAATGTTTCATAGTGACAGCTGGTTTCGGTGGTTTCAGAGAGGTCAGACACCTGTCAATAATATTCAGTTTACAGCGCTTTGAGTTTCATAAAAAAAAAACCTGTTTTCTACTTTGTTGAATATGTCAAATTTTGTGGTAACTAAGCAGCATTTGCGGGAGGTTTTATGTTTCTGCTTTAATTGGAATAAAAGTGCAGCTGAAGCTGATCGAATGCTTGTAGAAGTTTATGGTGACAATGCTCCAACTGATAAATCATGTAGGGAATAGTTTCGACGTTTCAAGAATGGTGAATAGTGTTGTATACTATGAGCTGCTACAACCTAGTGATTCCATTACGGGCGATCGGTATAGGCTACAATTGATTCGCTTGGGCCGTGCATTACGAGAAAAACTGCCGGAATACGAGCTAAGACATGACAAAGCTATTCTTCTACGTGATAACGGTTGGCCTCATGTCGCAAAAGTCGTAAAAAACTGTTTGGAAACGCTCAAGTGGGATATTTTACCGCACCTGCCGTATTCGCCAGACATTGCTCCTTCTGATTATTGGTTGTTCCGACGAATGCAGCACGATTTGGCAGGTCACCGGTTCACTTCTTTTGCAGAAATCAAAAATTGCCCCCTAATTTGAATCGCCTCAAAAGACGAGACATTTTTTCGAGATGGAATTTGAAAATTGCCTGAGAGGTGGGGAAAAATAGTAGCCAGCGATAGACAATACTTTGATTAATCTGTTCATTCATTTTGTTCAAAAATAAATGCATTTTTGACCACAAAAAAAACGGACCGAACTAATTTGTACTCCAAATATAAAAATAAAATTGTGACAAATGAAAGGAGGGAGTCAAAAAATATGCGACATTATTTATTGTATGTCCCTTTACGAATAAAGATTTCAATAAAAAAAATATATGACAAATGAGAATGATTCTTTAAATTTCCGTAAATAAACTATCGAAGGCAAAGCTGATGATCGCCATCAAGTGATGCCTGCTGTTTAAACTATATTAAAATTCCCATCGCTTCATTATGCCCCTATTGAATAGTCATGAAACCTTTTGTATATTTTTTGAAACAAACTGCTCACTAAAGTTAAATTTAACTATCAATATTCTGAATTATAAGATTAAATAGCTTTAAAAATATTTAATAAATGTTATATTTTATTTGTGATGCAATGATTCCCAAAATTAAATATTTAAAAAGAAATTCCATACAAACCTGAGAATAAAAAATATTATTTTTCATTGAAAATAAAGCTGTTTCATTATTATAAAGCTTAGAGAAACAAATGTTTTTTTTAATTTTTATTTTGTCTCTATAATGTTCACTTTCCAGTTTTAGAAGCGAAATTTCGTATTTATCAAATAATTATATTTTAATTACCAGATTGTGTTGTGTCAAGGGAAAAACGCACGATGCAACTTGTGGAAAACGGTAAATTAATACCAAAAAGCAGCAAGGAAAAGGAGATATAACACTATCATTAAAAATTCACGCATTTAATAGAGGAAAAAAAAAGTTTTATTTCAAACGGGGGAATAAACTAATAAAGAAAATATCATTGTCTTTTCTCTAAACATATGCAGTTGATCTGGCTTCCCTTAAGGTCGTGGGGGAACAGGAATAAATAACAACAATTTATTTCACTCTATTGCAAAAATAAACATGTTAACTGCTTCTTTATTTATCCCTTCTTTTGTTATGTTGCTTTCAACATTTGTTATGCTTTTCATAACAACAATTTCATAATTTAATTTCTGATGCGAGTCTCGTTTGTTCTAGTCTCACAGGAAATATTGTTTTGTTTTTCTTCGTTCAGTTTAAATAATTGATCCTGTTAAATATAATATAACATTGCTTTTTTTATTGTCTGCGTGTTTTACGAATCTTGTTTTTTCCATAGGAATGAAATTAATTAATATCATGCAGTATTTATGATTCTGTCGACCAACAAGAGCTGTTTCATTGTTACAATTCTTAATTTAATCAAAAAAAGGATCTGTTAACTAAATCCTAAATTATGTTTGACTTTTCATTAATTTCATTAATAATTTGGATCGCATTAAATAATATAAAATAATGTTGTACCCAAAAAAAATCACAATCGATTTTTATTGTGCATGAACGATGTAACTGTTGTTCGTTAACCACTGAACCTAATAGCATGAGTGCATATTATTTGTCAAAATGTATTCAAGGCCCACCCCGGGCTGTCACACCAATATGGATAATGATAATTTTTCAAGATGGAGAGTTCGCCTTCGAAGGAGGTGACCCATATTAGAATACCAAAGATGGACAACGATGGCTCGTACCGAGCACAGTGCAAACGTAAAAAAATACATCAGCGGTAGACGGATCATGGGTTAGAATTCCCTTGCCGTCGGTCTAATCTTGGAAGGTTTTCGTGGTTTTCCTCTCCATATAACGTAAATGCGGGTTAGTTCCATCAAAAGGTCCACCACGAAAACTAGTAAGTCCTTACTTGATCCAAGAGTTCCTTGTTTAAATGGAAAAGTATTACATATAAACTCGGTCAAAACTTGTAATTATTAAAAAACTATAGTGCGTGTAATAATTTGATCTAATTATTACAATATACTAATATATTACCTGATATAATAAATATTCCATATTTATCTAACATATGGTCTCATTTATCCAATCATCGAATTTATGTTATACATCGTCAAATTTTACCAATTGTTGCACGAATGTAAACAAGTGCAAACCGGTTTCAGTCGCGTGAAAACGATAAAGCTGTATAGTATATACTGATAATAAAGATTTTACATGGAATCTTATAGTACGTCTAATAATTTCGCCAGGGACTGTAAATTAAGAAGTGCAATGCTTTCTTAAATTGAGTGTCATGTTTTTTATTTTAGCCCTGAGAATTGAGCGCATGGAGGCCAGTGAAATGATGCCCGTTGCCGAAGGAACTGAGCTGACCCTTGCCTGCATGATCGAGGGGTCGAGCGAGATGAAGGTGGTGTGGTTCAGGGACAATTCTCCTGTCCACATTCATTCGGCTGACCGAAGCATGTGGACAACAATGGTGCCCAAGAATTCTCAAGAACAGTTCACTTCTCTGCTGGGATTCGATAGAGTGGCCAGTTTAGATACAGGTTTGATTTCACGTATTTTGATAATGATCATTTAGGAGGGCTATACTATTATAGCTTTTTTTTGTGACTAATAAATCTCCTTAAATAAGTATATTAAGGTTAGGTTCTCGAACCTTTAATACTAATTCTTAGTGCGTGAAATTCTGATCAATAAATGAGAATTTATTCAATTTAAATCTGAATTTGTTCATGTCTCGAACCTTTAATACTAATTCTTAGTGCTTGAAATTCTGATCAATAAATCAGAATTTATTCATTTTGAATCAGAATTTGTTTATGTCTCGAAACCTTAATACTAATTCTTTAGTGGGTAAAATTCTGATCAATAAATCAGAATTTATTCATTTTGAATCAGAATTTTTTCAGGTCTCGAACCTTTAATACTAATTCTTAGTGCGTGAAATTCTGATCAATAAGTCAGAATTTATTCATTTTAAATCAGAATTTATTCAGATCTCGAACCCTTAATACTAATTCTTTAGTGGGTAAAATTCTGATCAATGAATCAGAATTTATTCAGGTTTATCATTTTTTTGCGCACTCTACCATCATAATGCTAGCAAGAATGATGTTCTATAATTTAAAAATGAATAAGTAATATAAAAAGCCAATTCCTACTAAAGTCAACAGGGAAAAATTCTATTTTAGTTACTTTTCATTGAATAATTGAAAAATTTTCTCTCATATAAAACAGAAATTAATTAATTAAATCTGATTAATGAATTAATATTTGAAAAAAAAACTGTATTAACTTCAAGTGTCATCCACTGCAAGTTTAAAAAAAATGTATTTGAATTTGAGTGGATGAATAACAAGTATTTTATTAACAATTGAAAATTTAAATAAGATATAGTAAGATTAAATAGATAGTGTGAGCTAATAGTAGGAATTGAAAAAGGGTGAGAGAGTAAGACAAAAGACAGTTGTGTTACTATGCTTAGACTCCATAATCTATGTAATTTGTTTAGACAGTGCTATAAACTAAATCTGACAAAGGAATGGGAAGTAAAATTTTTTTGTGAAAGAGTTAAATATTCTTGAAGCTAGAATATTTATTAAAAAAATTGATGCCATGCTAAAATGTCGTACTTGAATGAAATAAGAAGTTATACAACGTATTTACACATTTATAAAAATGAAAAAAAACAATAAAAAATAATACATTTTAGTAAAATAAATTATTTTTTTCATTTAAAGTATGTAAGCGTTAATATTTAATTTACCATAAAAATTACGTACCTACATTACTCTCGGATATTTGCAAAATGTTACTACAAGCAATATTCTTCTATGTTTTTTGTAAAGAAATGAAATGCATTCTAAATATTTTGTCACTTAAAAAAAAACAGGTTTTTTTAAACGTTACAATTTTTAAATCCGCGAAGTTTTTGTCAAATGCTCACTATTACTCTTCGTTTCTTTTTTTTACCTAGGAATGTTTACTTGCCAAGTAACAGATTGGGGTTTTGTCCAGAACCGAAGTATATACGTCCACGTATTGTCCGCCCCGCAACCCCAGCTCAGCCCCATCACCGCAACCATCTATGTGGGATCACCTCTCGTCATTACCTGTCTCTCCCGGGAAGACATTTACGGTAACTTTGGCTACACTTGGCTGAAGAACGGCAGAGTGCTCAACCCCAGTATCGAACCCGAGATGGCCGAAGATCTGTTTCCGGCTGGTAGTCGTATTCTGTTGCAGGGGGCCAAATCTTCCGCCATGTATTCTTGCATCATCACCAGCTCAGCAGGTTCTACAAGAAAGGATAGTATCATCACCGTCATCGATAAAGACAGTGAGTAAAGAGAATTTATTCCGTAGTTTTTATGTAGTTTCCGTAGTTTCGGTCATGTTTTAACTGACAACCACTACCGTTCCAGTCCTTTGTCTGTTTTAAACTATCACAGCAAAGAACCATACTGATTTGAAAGATTTGTACAATACTGTTCAGCGGCATTAAAGTATTACGTAAGCACCTAAAGGGATTCTTGATTTGCTGACAAGGTAGGTGGATACTTTATAAACGTCGCACTAGACTTGCACAATGGGCTATTGGTGACGGTCTGGGAAACATCCCTGATGTTGATCCGAAGACATGCCATCGCAATTTTGATCCTCTGCAGAGGGGATGGTTTCCCTGCTTTGGTAGCCCAACGATCTGCGCTCGAAGTCGAGCACTTTACGGTAGAACAGTTTAATGAGAACCTATACCACGCACTCACGGTTCCTGTGTAGGGTAATCAAAGTGGTCACCCACCCGCACACTGACCGCAGCCAATGATGCTTGACTTCGGCTTTCTACTGGGAACCGCGTCTTTACGATCAGTCCACTGTGGGACAATATGCTGACAAAGGGCATATCAACTAAGCGCAATGTTTAACCTTCACATGTGAACTGGCAACCACTTCCGTTCCAGTTCTTTGTCTGTTCTCAGCTATCACGACAAAGAACCCGACTGATTTGAAAGATTTGTATCATACTGTTCAGAGGCATTCACATAACTATTACGTAAGCACTTAAAGAGGGCTGTGATTTGCTGGCTAAGGGCATATGAACTATGCTTAATGCTTCACCTTCTTCCTTAGTATTGTGTCGTGTATTAATACTTAACTTATGCTTCATGACAGTAACCATTAGATTTCAGTAGAAATAATGCCATTTCAAACAAATAACCGCAATAACCCATTTTAAATCCAGTTGTATGGCTGAAAACGAAATAATTAGCATTTATTATCAACTACTATGCAGAACCATTTGACAAATGTAAAAAATTCAACCGTTACCGGTATTAGTTATTTTAAAAAACACATTTGACCGAAACATAAAACTTCTCCAAATAGTTAAATCCTCTATTGTAAATAAATCCTTTCCTTTATCACTACCTTTACCAAAGCAGAAGAGCCATCCCCTCTGCAGAGGATCAAAATTTCGATGGCATGTCTTTGAATCATCCTCAGGGATGTTTCCCAGACCGTCGTCAATAGCCATTGTGCAACGACGTAAATAAAATACCTACCTTATCAAAGATCTCGTAAGGAGACCACTCACTCTAGGTCTAATTCAATAGACTGAAGAAAAATATTCCCTTTCTCTCTCCAAACCCGAGTCAAAACCTGTGTAAACAGTGACCCCACACCCCTACTTGAAATAGTTATACCTCGTTACCATAGTCACCGTCACGGGCCCAGACGAATGGCTAAGGAAGCTCTTACTTTAGACAAACTATATAACTTCCTATGTATGATCCAAATACACTGCTGGCATCACCCACCAAACACTGTGCAAAGCGTGGAGGTGCTGGGTTCGAATCCCGCCGTAACCCTGGGTGTATTCTTCGTAATGTCCTTCTACTTGACAAAGGATCATAAGCCTGAAGTGCCTGCAAATGTATCTAATTTCAATAAATAAATAAATACGAATACACTGATTCACTCAAATCTGAACTGATATAACGTCAGAAGAGGACTGCAAAACGTTCAGTTTAATTTTATAATACTGGGAGAACATTTCTTAACTCTAGTGCCACCTGGAGGCAAAATTTAACTTCATTCATTTTTTTTTCAAATTCATTGCCTTTCTTATCACAATTTAACTACCATATTAATCAAGTCACATTTTTACACAGTCCAGTCACATTAATGTGACCACCTGTCAAAATCCAGAATAACCACCTTTGGCAGAGCGAACCGCTACGAGATGTGCAGGAAGAGAGTCAGTTAGGTTTCTGAAAGTGTTCACTGGGATTTTGAGCCATGCCGACTCCAGTGCCGTGGCCAGCTGCGCTAGATTACGCGGTTGAGGATCCATGGCGCGAACAACCCGATCGAGATGGTTCCACAGATTCTCGATTGGGTTTAAATCAGGTGAGTTTGCTGGCCAGGGGAGTACGGTAAATTCATCCTGGTGTTCTTAGAACCACGCACATGCACTGCGAGCTGTATGACACCTCGCATTGTCCTGGTGGTAGATGCCATCATTCTGAGGAAATGTAAATTAGGTTTCATTATNCTGTAAACATTCAACTCTGCCCTACTGGTTACACAGGTGAGAACATAGTTTCAATATTTGTTTTTGTGAACTGTTTTTAAAGAATTTCATTTCGGAATAAAAGTTTGCAACAATTTATCAAAACAGATTTCAAAATAACAAAAATATGGTAGTTAAAAGTATGATCATTTTTTAAAATTTTATATCCCTGCTAATTGCCAATAGAAATGTTTCTTGAAGGTTTGACGTACTCTTTGGAAATTATATTTTGTAAATGAAAGCAATCGTTTTTGTTTATGTATCCGTCATTGAACAGCCGACCCAGTTTTGGGTTTGCGACTACTAATGTTCAACTCCGTAGCCTTGTAATTTTGAACACAATCCAGAAGACAAGGAAACAAGAAAGAATACAAGGAGGACTTTGCGACTCGACAGATTTAACGTGCATTAGTCACAATTTAATACATGGGGAGTCTTCAGCCGGCGTGGAGACAAAAATGTGAAAGCTAGTTACAATTCTATTGAATGATTGGCCTGTCACATGCGCAGTTCGAGCACATGAGCAATTCAGTGTTTTATGCGTGAAACATAAAATAAACATTTTCTCTTATGTTATCCTATATGCTGTGTATGGAGCCGCGATGGCTCAGGGGATAAAGCATTCGCCTTCTAATGAGGCGTACCGGGTTCGAATCCCAGTCGATACGAATTCCGCATCTGGCTTGCATCGACCACAGTGCTGACGTGAAATATCCTCAGTGGTAGACGGATCATGAGTTAGAGTACCCCTGCCATCAGGCTAAACGTGGGAGGTTCTCGTGGTTTTCCTCTCCATGTCACGCTCATGCTGGTTAGTTCCATCAAAAAGTCCTCCACGAAGGCAAATTTCTCCCCACTACTCGAACCAGGAGTTCTCTTGTCTACTGGATTCGGTTCAAAATTACAAGGCTGCGGAGTTGAACATTAGTAGTCGTAAACCCATAAAATTGGATCGGCTGTTTAACGACGGTTATAAAATAATATAAAATCTGCTGTGTATGACACAGAAAAGATTTGCTTTTAAAGTTGAAAAAATTAAATTGTTTGTTTCCAGGTGATGTTCGTCGTAAGTGCGTTGCAAAGACTACGGGAGCAGTTTGGGAAGAGCCTGATTTTTCAGGCTGTTTTTCTGGTGGATTCGTCAGCCTCAGGAAAAAGGTAAGTTATTCGAGTAAGTTATTATAGCTGAATAATTAAAGGTACTTTAATTATTCAGTTATAACTGACTTAGAGAAAATACCTTGTTTGCCAAAAATTAAATATTTGTAATTGCATAGAATGCCTCAGTTTCATGTAACTACAAATAAATTTGTATTTTAATAGACATACCAATTTTCATGTTGCATTATTGGTTAGAAAATCCATGCCCTAAATTTTATTAAGTAAAAACTTTATATACAATACTGAAATTGAACAAAAAAGTACTTGGAAAATAATTTTTTTTTAGAAGTTAACCTTGTAACATTTACCCCATTTTGAGAAATGGTTCAAAAGAAATTATTCGGAAGAAATGTTTTACATCAAGAATATCAATGGTTTTCAATTTTTGAAAAAGTAGTCTCATATTTTTAAAAGTGACCACTATTAGAATGCACAAATATATGACTGGTTGGTAACAACATTTCACAATTTTGCCGGCCAACCAGATGGCCGAGCGTTAGCGTGTCTGATTGAAAGCCAATGGTTGCGGGTTCGAATCCCTCTCTGTGTGTTGTCCTGAACCGATGAAGCGGCAGTGTGGCGTAAGTATGTTGCTCGCCTTAGGTTCACAGGTGCCCACCGGGTAACATGAAAGAGCAACACTTTCGGCATCTTACGAAGCAAATAACAAAGGTTCACTGCCTGTCATTAACCCCTTAACAGTGACATATATTTCAGAAAAATTTATCAAAAATGGAAATTTTTTTGACCATTTAATTTTGCTCTTGATATCATTATAAAAGTTAGAAAATAGTTTTTTATTGCAAAAATGAAATTTTAAATGCAATAACTACTGTATTTATAATTTTTACATACACATAAAAAAGTAAGGGATTACACACACATCTTATTCAATTAGAGCAAATTAAACAAAATTTTGAAGCTAAATATAGTATAACTAGTATAATATAATGTAAAAACACAACAATATGATTTTCAATACGTAACTTTTACAAATCTTTATATGGTATGTCCCAAAACTGCCACCCTCATTTCCCTCCCTCGACGTAATCGGTGAAAGACTAGGACCACTAATGCCATCTATTAGGAAAATAGTGAATTAAGTATCCTAAAGTAGGAACGAACTTAGCTCTGGTTTCACAAAATAGAAACGTTAGTTCTTCTCCTGTCCGAAGTCAATTCGGGTAACGTACTACTGCATCACAAAAATGCACGTAGTAGTTGCCCGAACTGGGTTCAGGCGACACTGGCAAGAGGTTAAACAATTTTGTCCAATAATAACTGCAAAATCCACATGACTAAGTACATAGAAATCTTGTTATTTATCAGAAAAGTCTTTTTGTATTTAAAAAATGTGGAATATAATAACACGTAGGTCTTAACTCCTATGTTAATTTGGAAAAATGCATTTTACGGATAAAAAGTAGACACATTCAAGCATTTTAGATTGTATCAGCTTTTAACGGAATTTTGTTAAAAACTCTTACTTTTAGTGATACATTGCTGAATGTGTAATTTCGCTTGATTGCTCCGTACAAATAATTTTTTGTAGCTCTAGATTTACGTAAGCAAGCACGTGTAATTTTATTAAGTAAAATGATTTATTATTATTTTAAAGCGTAAACAGCTGTTAATTAATGATCGTAGAAAATTAAACAGCTCCATTGCGTGTGTTTTTATGCACCGAAACTCTTTGAAAAATGATACATGCGCTGACTTTTAAAGTTTTACAAGTCATTTCTCCTTTCGTGTAAAGTGTAACGCCTTTTAAAAAGATTTTTTTTATGTATACGAACCGCGGATAAAGGCTTAATAATATTTAAAATCATGCCTCGCTTTCACTTCTAATCTGAAAAAGAAAGCCTCTTACAAAACGGTTCTTTTAAAAAGACAATTGTATCAAATTAACGAAACGTTGTTCAATTAATATAAGATCAGATCGTTAATACTGACGACGATTTTTAATTAGATTTTGTGCCTGCACAAAAGAACATTGAAGTTTGTTTTGTTTATACTAGGGAACTAAGCGGCCTGTTTGCTGCCGCTCACCAACCCCGATGTTCTTCGCAATAATTTTTGTTTCTTGGCAGAAAACAGTTTTTCAACTAAAGTTAAACTTCTTCATTAAACATATATGTACTAAACGGAATTCTGTTTGCTTACGCTTGACCCTCCACTTTCCCCATCCAAATATTATCTATTAGTAATATAAATAGCTAGATCTAATGGTGAGCAAAAGTAATTTTTTTAAGTAATAATTTTTTAAAATAGTATTTATATTCAAACAAATTTGATGAGTTTGCAATCGTAATTTAATATTTTCGATTACCAAACGGGCGGATATATTAAATACTACTTTTGCTTCCATCTCATTGTGCATGAAGCTGATAGTTAAGTTCTAAATCATTAAACAAATCTCTTTAACTGTAATTTATTACAGTATATTAATGTTATTTGCACAAAAATAATAATTGTAAAACAGTCAATAAGATTAGACCACCTTTCTAAATAACTTTATCTTAAAATGTAGCGCAGAATTACGTTATAACAATAATAAAAAAAAACGGCAGCAATTTTCTTAGTTTTAAATTCTTGAATTAAAAACGTAATAATAGCAATACAGGAACTAACTTTGAATTAGGGATAACAAAATATTTATAGAAAAACAATACTTTTATGACTTTTATTAATTTTAAGCTGATGACAACCAAAGCAATATGGAAATGAATGAGGAAAAACTGGATCCTACCACGTGATTTTCCAGCCAATTAAAATGCACGGACAACAATGGAAAACAGCGACACCATCATTAGATTCTTATAAATAGTAGATAATAAATGAACTAATCCCTATAAACGGGTGTGACGTATGGTNAAAACTGGATCCTACCACGTGATTTTCCCGGCCAATAAAAATGCACGGACAACAATGAAAAACAGCGACACCATCATTAGATTCTTATAAATAGTAGATAATAAATGAACTAATCCCTATAAACGGGTGTGACGTATGGTGTGGTAGAAGTCGAACTCTTGGCCATAGATGGTGCCACTGGAAAACATGAATAATCGCACCCCCTCTGCCTAAACTGGCATACGAAAACAAGCAAACGAACTATATACAAAGACTAATTTAAACAGTTCTAAGTTTGAGGAAGTCACATGTTGTTAACCAAAACATTTTGACTTTATTATGCGAACTCAAATATTTATAACTAGATGAAGACACGTTCTTCTCACAACTTGAGTAAAAAAAGAACACCATCAATAGATGAATACTGAGCAGCATTTCGAAATCATGCACAAAACTGAAAAATATATATTGACACAGTTGATTAAACTAAAACAATTCCAATTATTTCTTTTTTTGGGAAAGACCATTCAACCTTGTCAACCTTCATCTATCAAAAGGTACTTCAAGATTGAATCGAGTTAGCATGTCTTATATACTAGGGTCTTATATGTATGTCTTAATAATGGTAGTGGTAGTTACGCCGGAATATTCGGGAGAGTTGTGTTAAGTTCACCAGATTTTAAACACTAGTGGTTTGAGCTGTATTAAGTTCACATAGTTTTGAGTGTTTGTCGTGAGAGCTGTATTAAGTTCACGGTTGTGTGTGGTCTCTCCTGTGTTGCTATTAGCAGTCAAGTGTGTGCAGGATCCCGTTGTGCGTAAATGAGACTGAGTAGCAACAGTGCGAGGAGGAAGATGACGCAGACACAAATGAGAAAATCAACTGTTCAATGTGGACAATCCATCGGAGTGGGCGCTACTTTCAATGTAAGAGAGCTCATCACGTCTTGGTCACCAATGTGGGGAAATAGCATTCGACCATGCCAAAATTCATCGATCAAAAGGTACCAATTGAAGATAGAATCGAATTAGCATGTCTTTATATACTAAGGAATTGATATTTAATAAACGTAGTGGTAGTTTCGTCACGCTTTATTTATTATTATTTGTTGTTATCGTTAGACTATTATTGTTCTCATATTACTGTTCTCGTATTATATATTTTTGTCCTCAAACACTGAATATAAGTTTACTCTTAGGTTGAAAGTTTACGTTTGGGTTACCTGATCAGTGATGCTGGGGCTCTCCTCTCTCGATTGAAACGATACCTGATGTCAAAAAAACCCAAACTCCATTTCTGTGAGGGAGAACCCATAGTCGATGTCCTGCAAGATATTTTGAACATTAAACACGGAGATAAAGGAAGTCAAGAATCCTGGCCGGTAAGCATTATTTTTTACAACTATTCTTAAGTTCAAGGATATTCAACTCCCTAGCTTAATAATTTCGAGCCCAAACCAGATGAAAAAAGGAACTCCTGGATAAAAGCAATGGGACAAAATGAGTCTTTGTGAAGGAACTGACGCACACTTACGTTACCCGGAGGGGAAAAGCACGAAAACTTCCCTCAATTAGTCCGACGGCAAGGGCATTCTAACCCTTAATTCGTGCAATGTGGGATATTTTTCGTCAGCACTGTGAACTGACGAGCCAAGAGCAGAATTCAAAATGATCAGTCATAGCTGTGATTTGAATGAGAGTCACCCCGGAGGCTCTATTCCCTGAATCGTCCCGCAGTGGACTGATCGTTAAGACGTGGTTTTAAAGCAGATTACTGAAAGCAAGTGTGTGTGTGGGGGGGGGGTGACCACTCTGCGGTGAGACCGAGGGTGTGCGGTATTAGTTTTCTGTAAACTGTTCTACCGTAGAGTGTTTGACTTCGTACGCAGATCGTCAGGCTACCGAAGTGGGGGTGCCATCCCCTCTGCAGAGGATCAAAATTATGATGGCATTTCTTCGGATCATCCTCAGGAATGCTTCCCAGACAGTCGCCAATAACCCATTGGGCAGCTCTAGTTTGATGTAAATTATTTACAACTACAACTATTCCTTGACTTGCCAAACAACATATCGTTGGATTATTTAATTGAAATCCTATATCGGTGGTATGGTGTTGCTTAATCACCATCCTTAACATACATTTTGAAATTATTACGAAAAATGAATAAGATCACAAATTAATATTTAGGTAAGGTAAGGTAGGTACTTAATTTACGTCACACTAGAGCTGCACAATGGGCTATTGACGACGGTCTGGAAAACATCCCCGAAGATGATCCGAGAGGTAAGGGGGGAAAAAACATCGTCAAGATCACAGTCATCCTACGGGGAATGAAGGAAAATTTGAAATCACCAGTCTATTTGTTGTAAATAAACTTCACTTGATTCAGGATTTCAATTAAAAACATTTGATTGTAATCTACAAATGATATCAGATATCATAATATCTAAGTATATAAATGATGTAATATACAAATGATACCATCTCTTAGTACTAATATTTTAGATTCCATGAACACCATTTGTAATAATGACACTTGTTCACCAAAATACTCATTAAAATAAAGAAAATAATTTAAACTAATGTCATGTGGATAAAAAGGATTAATCAAATTTTTCACTTTATTAGTCACTTGGAAATTTTCAGAATCCTTTTCCAAGATTTTTTTTTACATTTTATTCTTACAGCTATAACTATATGTTGAATCTATATTATATGTTGAGTCGACAATTTTCAAAGAAATTATTGGGTAACTTTAAGAAAAATGCAAAGAGTACTTTTTTTACACAAAAGACCGTGAGAAATAGTGTAAATTTACAACAAATCTGATTTTTCTGACATTAGCACTAGTATATACGAGGCATTATATTACTAGTATATATTCAGTCATATATACTGGTAATACTAGTATATATGACTGAAACTTAGTATATACCTATATTGCCCAAAAGCAGTCAAAATGACTGCATTGCGAAAGATTAACTAATGTGTGAAGAAATTTGTTTAATTAATTTTTAATACTTTTTATATTATTTACAGTTATATAACAAGTTATTAGTAAATATTAGCAATAAACAAATTTATTTCACTTGGAAAAAAAACATTATTTATGCATTATTATCTGTACATTTTTTGCAAATGAAAAAGCAGTTAAAAAGCAGTCAAAATAACTTTCTTGAGCAATCTAGTGTTAATTAATGTAGTTAATAACTTAAACATTAGCATTTAGATTTAATTTATGAGCAAAATGTAACAACATTTACCAGAAATTTTAATAAGGACATTGTTTAAATTTAAAAGTTTAAATCTAAGTTTAATTAACTTCAAATTAAAATTTATAATGATATTTTTTTAAGAAAAGGTATACTTAAGTATTGTTTTTAGTCGCTAGTTTATACTAATTATGTTAAGTTTGCTGTTACGTATCAGTTTAAGCCATAAAATATTTATGTCCACCATAAATTAATTATGTACAAAAGTATTTCAAAAACACATCAAAATAATTTAATTTAAGATTAAATTGTTGATTTTTTTTAACAGCTATTATTTTAAAACATTATATATTAAACTTCTATTTGAAACTTAAATTAATTTAAAAAAAGTTAATTACTTCTAATTCAACCTTTTCGATATTAGCTCGTTTAGATAAAAAAAATATATACATATACATTTTAACTTTTATTATTTACATTTTAGTAAATTTAAGCATTCGTCCAAATTCGCGATTAAATAAAGTAATAAAAATCTTTCAGGAGCATATTAATGAAATTTTCAACGAACGAAAATAATTTTGTTTTTCGAAAATGATTCGTTAGTTATTTTTTTAACAACTCTGATACACTAAATAAACAAACCTAATCTAGTTTAAAGTCTTTTTTCCACTTTAGTATCTCCTAAAAACGTAATTTGTGAAAGTATCTAATAAAAGAAGTTCTTCATTCAAATAATTATCCTTTTTTTACTTTTTTAGAACTCATTGTTTAATGAAGCATTTTAATTCAATTTCAAAGGCACAATTGTTTATAAAATCAGCATAATTTAATTGCCTTGCATTCATTTCTTGATTAGAAGTAGCGCATAAGTTATTTATTTATTTTATTGCAACTATTTATGTGATTTAACATGCTTCACAATATGCCATTTTTAATCTTTTTATTTTTTATTTTTAATGTAAGTTCAAGAATTTTTTAAATATCTTGTGCAAATTAATTATATTTGGGAATTGTAAATTATTTGATTTAGTTTATTCTAAAAGGATAGATATTTAAATCTTAAGCATTTTTCACGAAAAAAGTTTCAGTTTGCTGTAAGTTTAATATTTTATTTAAAATGTATGCCATACTTAAATTTAATTCTTATTATTATAATTTCATTAGATTTTGTGGGGAAAAGATACTAACTTTATTCGTTATAGATTTTTTAAAAATGCGTTAATATGTGTGATATTAAGTGAATAAAATTACTTTTTATTTTTAGATATATCATTCTTGTATACCATGCTACATTGAATGTATTTTAAAGCATTGATTGCTTTTTTACAAAAATGTCTCCATTTATAAGCATTTTATAATAATAAACTGGATTTAAACCAATTCATACTATTTTTCAATACAAAATTTGCATTTTTTGTTATTCAAATTTCGACAATAACTTTCAAACAAATAAGTAGAAATCAACTTCATAAACGAGTTTTAGTGTAAAAAATATATTAATACTTAAAATGTGTCTTTTTTTAGAAATTTTTATTCCAGTCATATGAAAGATTTACAGACAGATAGTAAACTTATCTAGCAATTAATCTTTCAGTTTTGTCAACCACAGTTATTATTATAATTAGAAACTCTGACTCTCCATGTAATTTTAATCTCTCTATTAAGAATTCACATTAAAATTTTTATTTTTATTGCTGTTTTAGTAAAGTCCTCTAAGTTAATATTCTAATTAAATCTTTCGGAAATCATAGTTTATCATCAATTACCAAATAATCTTCTTTTTTGGTTCTCTTTGCACCACAAAAAAACATGACTTTCACATGTCGAAGATTTTTGGTGAACATTTTTCTTTGGCCAACACATTTTTATTTTATTTTATTTTTTGAAAAAAAAAATTTAAATATTCGACATTTCTTTCTTTTAAGAGGAAACTTTTCATTGCAATTTTTTTTACCTCAATGACTAATTTAAAATTGAAAGTTTAGAAAAAGTGAATTCAAACAAACCTAATCCACAAGCCACAAAGTTTCAAATAATAAAAAAAAATTTTTAAACATCAAAATGAAAATAAATTATGAGACGATAGCTTAAGATGAGGGAACGAAAAAGTTCTTTTCCAATAATATGTTTGCATTTTAATATTTTGAATTTTTTTTGAGCAACAGGACCTTATAATGGCTTACTCTAGGTTTGTCTGAATTCACTCTTTTTAAAAAATTAATAATGGAGATGGAAGAGAATTACGAACAAAAAGTTTCTCCCGTAGTGTGGCATCTTCGTAAGAAATTGCTTATAGTCTTTTTTTTGTTAACCCATTTTATAAGGTAGGTAGGTACTTTAATTACGTCGCACTAGAGTTGCACAATAGGCTATTGGTGACGATCTGGGGAAACAACCCTGAGGATGATCCGAAGACATACCATCACAATTTTGATCCTCTGCAGAGGGGATGGCTCCCCTGCTGTGGTAGCCCGATGATCAGAGTGCGAAGTTGAGCACTTTACGGTAGAACAGTTTAACGAGGACCCATGCCGGGCATCCGCGGTCCCTACGCAGGCTGATCAAAGTGGTCACCCACCCTCTTACTGACCATAGCCAGTGATGCTTGACTTCGGTGTTCTACGGGGAACCGTGTCCTTACGATCAGTCTACTACGGGAACCATTTTATAAGATACACTAATTTTTAAAATATAGTTTTTGTTCTAATGGTATTCAGATATAATACTTTCACAGCTTATGTGTATTAAAACTTTCATTATTCTTTTAAATGTAACATTTTATCAGTAGTTTATGTTTATCCTATTTCTTAACAGACGTTCCTTGATATTACATCAGCTCTTCTGGAATCCCCCATTCTTATTAGAAAGCAAAAGGTAAGATTCTATCACTGTTAATCACTTATTGTCACTAAGATGTAAGATTCTATTCTCATATTTAAATGTTGATAAACATTATTTTAATATCATATTTAATGGCATAAATAAAATAATCGATTTTTAAAGTAAAATTCAAGAACATAACTAATTCACTCTTAAATCTTAGAGTATTGAACTCATAACTTAATCACTACTCCACATTCTATGAGTAAAGATTTCATTTTAATTCTTCTTTCATATTGTATGAGAGAAAAATACATTAATGCAATTTAATTGCGAAAGAATTGTTAACTAACTTATTTGAAACAATCCTGGAACAAAACATTAAACAGTCAATGTGACACGTTTAAGCTTATTGAAGGAAATTCAAAATAATAATAACTAATAGTTTTTTTTAATTTTTTTTAATTACCCAGTGTGTATATACTTTTCATTTTTAAAGAAATATAATCGGATCATATATTATTCAAAAATAACATGTGTTATAACAAGGCTATTTTTTCAATGAATATTTCGGACATTAATATTTTCGAAGAAAGAGTCTAACTTTAATGCACCGATAATGACCCATAAATTCACCTGAAAAAACAAGTTCATTTTTGTGGAATATCATAGTTTTATATTAACTTCATTTACTACAGTATGACATGATAATCCTTTCTCTCTACAGAAACTGACTCAACTTCACGATTTGATTTTTGGGTATGGATTCCAATACGCAGAAAAGTCGAATGCTGTCAGCTTTGAAATGTTTGAGAGAAAAGTGTTGGGTAAATTTGACTTCTTTCAATTCCTACCATGAATAAAATACTTTTTATTCATCCATTCAACTTCAAATGCATTTCTGTTTATACTTGTAGTGGATGATACTTAATGTTAATACAGTTTTTTTTTTAAATATTAATTCATTATTTAAACTTAAATTTCCGTTTTAATTTTCCGTTTTAGGGGACCGCAAATAAACTAATACTAATGCATATTAGCATTTTAGATAACTATTGCCACTCTTAATTGAGTATCATTGGCCCCCAATTATATTTTGGTAATTTGTACGCCCTTCCCACCAGGCAGAAAATACTTACCCGCTAAAATGTAGAAATCAGTTATTCAACAGATTATCTAGCTAGCTAAGCCATGAGGGCTCAGGAGAAAGAGCGTTCGCCTTCCAATGAGGTGACCTGGGTTCGAATCCCAGCGATGACTGGTCGATACGAATTCTGCATCTGGCTCGCACCAAACACAGTGCTGACGTGAAATATCCTCAGTGGTAGACGGATCATGAGTTAGAGTCCCCTTGCCGTCAGGCTAACCGTGGAAGGTTTTCGTGGTCTTCCTCTCCATGTAACGCAAATGCGGGTTAGTTGCCTCAAAAAGTCCTCTACGAAGGCAAACTTTTACCAATACTTGATCCTGAAGTTCCCTCGTCTTCTGGATTGGGTGCAAAATTACAAGGCTACGGAGTTGAGCATTAGTGTCGTGAACCCAAAATTGGGTCGTCTATTCATTGACGGTTTTGAAAAATAAGGAATGATTATTTAGCTACTATACAGATTAACTACACAATTCCGTTGCTGTTCCAAAAAGTTGTTTCATTCCTCAAATAACCTTGGTAATCTTCAAATTGCAAAGAAGATCTGCACATTACCTAGTGGGCACTAGTTAAAGTGAAAATAAGATCTTTGTTGGAACAATAGCAATTAATTATGCGACGTTATTTGTTTATACAATTGAACAATCAACACATTAATTGGTAGAACGAAGGAAACAAACTTCTGAACTTGAACGATACCGTTAATGCGCACATCATCTACAGTAAATTGCGAAAAATGGTTAATCCCGTATTTTAGCGGATTAACCCTAACCCGTATTTTAACGGAGTTTCTGCTGTAAGATAAAATCTTTCATCAGAGGATAATGGTTTTATTATATTTATGTGCTAATTCTTAATAAATAAACTAAATGTGCTAAGTCTTAATAAATCTATGAACCTTGTTTTTTTTCCAAATGATTTATTTTCCTCTTTCTTTGATTGTATACTTGGTACTTATTTTCTGGACTAATTTCGCAAGTACGAATACGATAAGTACGGAATTTAATATCACGATGTATTATCAAATACTATCACAAAATATCAAGATATTTTCCCAATTTATTTCTATTGAAAAATATTGAGTATTTACCAGTTTTTCAGGGTCGATATTTTCATTATCCAATTAAAATTCACTAACACTCTCAATAATTATCGTTATGCGTAATGTTATCTTTTTGATACTTATGTGTGGTATCACTTTGATGTTATCGATTATCATCAACCTTAACTTATAATCAAATTGATAATCAACCCTAGCTTATTCGAAAATTATAGTTATCAGTAATGATCGTGGTATTATCATATTTGATATTTATTGTTGTCATTAGTGATTGCAATATTGTCTTATTTAACTTGTTTTATTTAAATGATTTCATAAAAATGAAACGTTTATTCAATTTTTTATATCATTCAAAAATAAGTTAAATAATTTGATGTTTTGTCATTTAAACTCTTACAGCTGTCCAAGTTGGGAAGTTATCCGGAGATTTGCAGCAGACTCTGAAATTGCCATCTCAAATGTTCACAGCTGTGAATAAATTTTCGGACACTCCACCCCTGCAGTTTGCCTGGATGACGAATTCTGTCGAATTGGATTTCAGTCATTTGGCTCATGATGAAACTAGAGGTAATGGCTTTATAATTTCTCTGGCAACCAGAATGAAAACCATCTTTTAACCAGAATGAAAATTTATTGTACTAAATTTTGAATAAGAAATTTTTATTTACAGTTTTATAAGTTCCTATCGATATTAAAGCTATTGAAATCTGTCAAATTTCTTGTAAGGAAGCGGGACAGAAAAAAATTAAAAACAAGTTCGGTAGCGTCGTGAAGCTTGGAAGTGTTTTAAATAACCTCCTTCCTACTCCTCTCCGCTTCTCTCCACAATCAAACTGGTTTTTAGTTTTTTCAGTCCCGCCTCCCTCAGTAGTGAGTAGTTAAATTTCGTTACTTTATTCTGCAGAAATATTAATACTTAAAAACTAATGTTTAAGCGTTATAAAAATATATCGGGGTTTCGTAGCCAGATTTTCCAACAAAAAATAAGCACCTTTTAAGCACTTTTTAAGCTCTCAAAAAATATTTTTAATCACTTTCCAAAAAAAAAAAAATCATAATTAAGATCTGTGCAATAATAAAAAAATTTTTTACCATCGTTTTAAGTTCTTTGCTTTATAATCATATATTCAATAAAATTCAAAAACATTTTCAAACACTTTATATAATCATGATAAAAATAACTAGTTTCTGATAAATATTGCAGAGAAAATTGTGAAAATCATGCTTTTTTTATAATTTAGGACGACAATCGACAAGCCAAAGAAACAATCTCTTTTTTTAGAGATAGGAAATTAAGCACTTTTTGCTAACTGAGTATAAAAAAGCACCTTTAAGGGCTTTTAATAAACGCAAATAAAAATAAGCACCTTTAAGCACTATTTAAAAACGCTACGCACCCTGTATATATTACGGGATACACTTATTCAACAAATTTTAATTCTCCATGGGGCTTTAAACCATGAGTACACTATATTTGAGACAACAGGACACCAAGTTAAGGGAGTTATTAGTTTGAGTATTTCCACAACTTTCAAAGTGTATATATTTAATCAAATTTATGTTTCAGGAAATTCTACTGCATCAGTTGTTGCTGTATTTTACAAGAATTTATCATCACATTTACCGCAGAGGTATTTCACGAAGAGAGGGTGAGTTCTCCTTTAAACTTTTGTATATACACTATTTAAACATACATTCTTTTTTAAATCTATAACAGATAAATTTCTGTAATTTTATGAGATTTTTTTAATTACAAATCATTTCAACCAAACTATAATAGTTTGCATTTTATGCTTTAAAAAAAATTTGTTTATAAAAAAAAAGAAAATTATATTTAGATCTTTTGGCATGCGATATTTTGTTGATGTTTTTTTTCTTTCTATTTAACACAAAAAATACTAAATGAAAAATAATAATTAGTGACACTCGCGGGGAGGTCACACAATTTAGTTTAGCAGGAGGAGGGTAACAGTTCATTTTAATGTAAATCTCTGAATTATTTTAATGTTGTTGTCGAAGGCTACTAAGGCAATGGTTGCGATTATTCTCGTTTTCCAGTGGCGCCATCTATCTTTTAAAACAGCTAATTTTAAAAAATACCTTTGCTTCTGCGTTCAACCTCTGGCCAAACTATACGACGGTCAGGAAGTCACGAGTATGACGCTGACGTTATATGTTCCGAATATCGGCGGATGTCCGAACTAGAAGTTATGGGCATTGACGTCACTCGCTTCAGTTTCCACTCTTTTCATGTTGTTGTAGGCCATTAAGGCACTGGAGGTGCTATTGTTCTTGTTTTCCATTGGCGCCATCTATGCCAAAGAATTCGACTTCTGCTGCACCCATACGTCACACCCGTTTGTAGGACGGACAAATTCATTCATTCATCCACAGATCGTAATTTTGACCTGAACCAGAGAGCGATCAATTTTAAATTGAGTACCCCAGAGGTATACTCTGTTATATGAACATGGGAGATTTAGTGACCCGACAGATTTAACGTGCACCAGTGACCATTTACTACACGGGAAGTCTTCGGTCCGATGGATTCGAACTCCCGTTCTTACCAACGGATGAAGTCAATCACTTGTAGAACTACATCCATAACGGAGATAAAATTTGAAAAAAAGACTTCCCATGCAAATTTTCTTGGTGGATAGTGAAACAAAGATAATACAGCGAAAAGCTTTCCTTTTCCCACACGCTTTTGCCTCAGGTTTCAGTAATATTAAATAATTTATGTCTCTGTTTCAATTGATGCAAGTAATCTTATTTAAAGCAAATTTGCTTTAAATCAAATTGCATAAAAACACATCTTTGTGAAAGCCGTTTGAAAAAAAAAGCCGCGTCAATCGAAACGAAACCTAATTGTTCCTTTCGATGTTAATTAATTATCAATGCCATATTTTTATCAATATGCCATTATTTTTTTATAAGAAGAGCCGTGATGACTCAGGGGATAGAGCGTTCGCCTTCCAATGAGGTGAACCGGGTTCGAATCTCAGCGATGGCCGGTCGATACGAATCCGACCACAGTGCCGACGTGAAATATCCTCAGTGGTAGACGGATCATGGATAAGAGTCCCTTTGCCATCAGGCTAACCGTGTGAGGTTCTCGTGGTCTTCCTCCCCATGTAACGCAAATGTGGGTGAGTTCCATCAGAAAAAGACCTCCACGAAGGCATTCAGGAGTTCCCTTGTCTTCTGGATTGGGTTCAAAATTACAAGGCTTCGGAGTTGAACAGTAGTAGTCGTAAACGCAAAAAATTGGGTCGGCCGTTCAACGACGGTTGTAAAATTATTAAATATAAACACGAGGCAGAACTTTTGTACACACCCCATTATCGTAAATATTTTCGAACCATTTTTTTTTATTGTCTGAGATATTTCGACTGATATCCCCCTACTATACTTTGCGAATTGAAAACATTTTTTTTTCTATGATCTTGTGTGAATTTGGGACAGCCTATAGTTCTAATCAATTTAAGACATCGAAAAGAATGAATTTTGTCATAAAATATAACTAAAATAAATTTATTATCTCATTTTCTTAAAAAACAAAACAATGATACGAATACAAGGTGCGTAGCCAAATGTTTCAACAAAAAATAAGCAATAATGTGTTTCCCTTTTCGGAAATGAGATTTTATCTTATTTTCCGTGTCAATTTTCGCCACGTATTATTCAAAAGCGTGCTTTTCTCTTTGTTCTATTCAACCTTTTCACAGTTCATTCAACCATTATCTATTTCAGCGTACCGTCGGTCCGTAGCGTAGGAAAGCGCCAATCATTTTACAGGTTTGATGAAATTCATGCGAGTCCGCATGTGCGTCTAGTGAGCTGGGTTCTGTGAGATTATTGCACTCTCATCTGCAACTCCGCTGCATTTTGCAAGATATTCTCAATTTCAAGTTCAATTTTTCACCCTCTGAAATCGGAAAGAAAAATCTCTTGATCATTTTTTAATGGTTAATGTAATCAAGAAAAGAGGTTTTGTCAAAAACTAGTTATTTTATCATGGTAATTTAAAGTCTTTGAAAATTATTTTGCATTTTGTTATTGTATATAGTGCTTAAAAGGAGCTTATTTTTTATTTTTAGTGCTTAAAAGGAGCTTATTTTTTTAATTTTTAGTGCTTAAAAGAAGCTTATTTTTTTATTTTTTAGTGCTTAAAAGGAGCTTATTTTTGGCTACGCATCCTGTTTAAGCACTCAAAAAATATTTTTAAGCACTATATAACAAAATGCAAAATAATTTTCAAAGACTTTACATGATCATGATAAAAATAACCAGTTTACGACAAAAAACTCTTTTCTTGATTATATTATCCATTAAAAAATACTTTAAAGATTTTTCGGTTCGATATCAGAGGATGGAAAATGAAGTCTGAAATTGAGAATGTCTTGTAAAATGCAGCAGAATTGCACATAAGAGTGCAACAATATCACCGAATTCAACTCAGTAGACTCACATGCGGACTCCCACGTATTTCATCAAACTTAAAAAGTTATTGGCGTTTTCATACGCTATGGACCGACGGTATGCCGAAATGAATTGTGAAAACGTTGAATAGTACATTGCGTGACGCTTTTGCATAATACGTGACGAAAATCGACATGGTAAGGAAAAAAATCTCATTTTGGAAAAGGGAAAATTAAGCACTATTTAAAAACACCCAATGAAAAAAACACCTTTAAGGGCTTTTAAAAAACGAAAAACTAAACTAAGCACCTTTAAGCACTTTTTAAAAACGCTACGCACCCTGCAATTAAAAAAAACTATATCCACAATAATTAGCGAATGAAGATTATTATATTGATTGTCATCATCATTATTCTAGGGTAGCTGATGTCGAATATCAATTGATCTCCAGTTTGGTGGGCGTTCGAGTAAGCGACGATTTGAATGGAGAGGAAGATGTTGACGTCAGAATATCATTAAGGAGCTTTAACCACACCTTTGCTGTAAGTATTATATGAATCGTAATTAACAATTGTATAATTAATGTTGCCGCTCTGACAAACAATTTGCATGATTTAATTACTCTTTTCTCAAATGTGCATTCATTAGCAGATAAGTACAGAGGAAGCCGCCATCTTTCCATTTTACACCGATTCTGTTATTTAAATCTTAAAACAATACATATTTAAATGCCGCGTAAGGTTTATGTAAAAAAAAAGACGAAATTAATTTTAATTTCAGTTTAGCTTGAAAACAATGCACGACGCGTAGTTACGTATTTCATTTAAATGTGTTCGGCTTTAGTTACGATAATTTTATTTTGTTGCAATAAAAAGTTGCGAATTGTAATGTGGATTTTTTAAAATAATTAAAATGTGTAAGTGTTTCTCCATTAAAGTGTATGCGAACAAACTTTAGTATGAAGGTCAAGCGGTAGACCAAAATTTATATTCGATCAACAAATCATAACAAATAAGAAAAGAAACAAAAACTATCTGACAATCGCCACCCTTTCTCGACTTTTTTTTTGTCGCAAATGCACCCGATATTTTATTCAATATTTAATTTTATATTTATTTTGTTTAATAAATTTGAAATTAATATAGATATTATACATTATTCTGAAATTTACTTTATTTCACTAATGCCTGATTTATCATTAGGCCGGAGATGTCCAGAGCTAGGGCCCCTTCATTTCTGGGCCCTCCTAAATGTTACTAATAATTTGTTTTGTATTTTTCCTAAAGAATATTGCCTATTAGAATTATGGCTTAACAAATATTGAAATAATTTAAAAACATTTCATAATTAAACAATATTTAAACTTTGTAAAAAATAACGATTAGGGGGCCCTCATTTCTAGATCAGGCCCCGACCCTTGTTTCTTTAAATATTTCTTCATTTTAAAAATAAACTCTATAGTGCTTACCATATTTTGAAAAATGCTTAAAAAAGGCGCCTATTAATAATATCAAAAAATTTTTTAGTTGTCTAAAAGTTTCAATTTTTTAAAAAGTGTTTTACATGTTTTTAAAAAGTAGCGACTGTTAAAAAATGCTACCACTGGCCAATAGCAAAATTTCCTACTTTTTACCTGTACCATACTACTCCTGTTCCGACGTATTTTTTCTTTTAAACATTTCGAACAATAACGAATTTTACACTTTTATATAACATTAATTTAATACATTTGATTAGCAGTGATATTAACTACCCAGACAAAGAATTCCGTGAACAAATTTAGAAGATTTGAAAATCTAATAAATTCATTCTTCTACAACTACCTTAATACCTCACAAGTCCATTGAACTTTGTTGAACGAGCATTCATGGTGGGGAAAATGCTGCCTTAATGATGTGTAATAACACAACTGTCGAATAAAAAAAAAAAGCTCATGTTAGCACACCTCGCTGTTATTCACAGTAATTTTCATATCAGCATAAGATTTTTTAAAAAAAGTTTGTTATTTCGATTCGTTGGGATTACCTATTCGACCATTTTCGTACTTTGAGATTATTCCGTCGACCATTTTTGCTGAACCCGATATTATCGCCAAAATGTAGCTTCTGCGCCAATAACCGCAAATTTTATTATATTTACACGTAATCCTTGACTATGCTAGTTAGTTTTCGATTGCTTGAGCGTGTCGAAATATACTGCATTTTTTACGCTTCCTTGCAAAATTATTCGGATTTGGGATTTGCCTAGCACTGAAGAGAGTGCAGTGGCATATTTTAATTATAAAAAATTGTGGTTTTTATTTTGTTTTGATTCTTTTTATTACGCATTTTTACACTTACATATTTATTATTTGATAAATTTAATGTGTTTAGAATGTTTATTTTGGAAATTGCTCTTCATTATGATGCAGCCAAAGGATTTGCTTATTTTCGCTANATTATAAAAAATAGAGGTTTTTACTCTGTTTTGATTCTTTTTATTACGCATTTTTACACTTACATATTTATTATTTGATAAATTTAATGTGTTTAGAATGTTTATTTTGGAAATTGCTCTTCATTATGATGCAGCCAAAGGATTTGCTTATTTTCGCTAACGTTGAAAGGTCGACGGGGTAATCCCAAAGTACCCTATATATATATATAATAATTTTAACCTTATATTTTCAGAATTATTTTGTCAGATACACGAAATTTCTATGACAGTTAATACAAAATTATATCGAACATTTAATACTAAAATCCGTAACAGGTAAAATTGAATTTTTTTTTTTTTTTTTTTGCGAATTGAATAAAACAAAATCTTTTAAGAGATTCTCTAAAATAGCTATATAACAGATTTTTATATCCAGGATAGAACTCATTCAACTTTTTCCCTTAAGATTAATTTTTTCCAAAACCCCAAATCTGAAGATCTAAAAATTTAAGGAAGCCTTTCTTTCTATAGGATTAGTACTTTGCGTTACATTAAATTGATATATAGTAGAGCGAAAAAATCGTTCGCCAAAACACAATTTTATTCGCCAAATTTACAATTTTATCTCTTTTGGCGAGGTGGCGAATGCTTAGCTCGGGCCCTGTTTTTCTGTTTTCGGTGCTTACATTAAATTATTTAGGTGCTTAAATGACACCCTTTGAATTGAATATAAAATCTCGATTTCGTGTTACCTTGACAAAGTGTTTCTCCCCCACCCCTATTTTTTGTATTTTCAACATCATATTCGGAGCGATATTATATTACAGTTTTTACTGTGTACGTTATCATGCATAATATTGAAAGGCGTATACAGACATAATGAAAATACTTAAAAATAATTCCATTTTTTTATTATTATTTCCTACTCTTCCCAGAAGCTTTATGTTATTAGATTAATCGAAATACGTATAAGTTTATCCTATCAAAATAAACTTATCAATATCGTTTGCGGTCAACTCATGATAAATTTACCACAATCACGTTATTTTTAAATCCAAGTTTTTTGTCAGTACTTATCCCTCTCAGGGGGAGGTGACAAAAAAAACCATTACCCTAATATCTATATTAATAAATAGCCTTGATTAAAACAACACCCTTTGTCACGCAAAAGTAATCAATTACTAAACAACGTAAAGAAAAACTAACAAACGTTGCTGATATTATCTTTTAAATGTATGAAAAAAAACAGAATCGTCTACAGTTTAATTTATAACAACGGTAAATGTAAGAACATATTTTAAGTGAAAGTGAATCAAATGAATAAATATGTCCTGAATATTATTTCACTACAATTATATTTCATATTTTAGAACAAGCAAAGTGAATGGAACATATCTTGCGCCATGGCAAATTTCGAAAGTGGGTAAGTGTTCGACAATAATGTAAACAAAAAGAAAATATATCGATTTTATTTTTTGAGTATTCATTTTCTGAAATATTCTATCTTTCAGCATTGTACAGTTCACGACGAATTATTGTCATTTAATTTGGCAAGTAGGAAACGATAGTATTTGTCAGTGCCATAGATTGGGAACATATGCCTTATTGCTTACTCATTACGCTCTTCCAGTAAGTAATTTGCTTCATATATTTATTTCAAACGTTGTATCTCAATGTGAATACTTTTTAACTATTATCTCGAGAAAATGGAACGGTGTTGTACAGAGTACCGTTGTATTTACAACGGTGTATTTACAGAGTACCGTTTATTATTTCTCAAATCTACGCATCCACTCAGATAAAATTACTCTAAATTTTATGTAAGCACACTTACGGAATATTCTCACATAAAATTGTAATAATTACAAATTTTATGAACAAAATGGCCTTTCAGCGAAACAAAAAAAAACAATGACGAATGGGAAATACCCATGTGGGTTCTTGTGCCAAGCCTTCCAGTTTCCTAAAAAAAAATAGTATTAAAGTTCATCTTTTTTTTAATTTTTAGAAAAAATTAGAATTCAGAAAAAAAAATTCTTACAAAAATGAATCCCGAAATTTTTGCAGGCATAACTGTATTTTTGATAAACGTGAATCCTAATTAAGAAAAAAAAATCGTTTAACCCTCCACGCGTTGACACCCTGGGTAAGATAGTACATAAATGTTCCTATTGCGCACTCTAAACATGGAGAGCATTTTAATAACATGGAGAAACAAGTTTTTTGATGGAAGATACTACTGTTAGTTCGGAAAAGCTGGGAATAACGCTCATAGAGTTAATAATCGCTGCGCTAATAGCCCGCATACGAATCAATTCTAATTAGAGAATGAAACAATTATTCGAATTCGAATATTATGAAATATTGTACGTGATCCGGTTAAAGAAAATGAAATTACATTTCAAGGTTTTTATTTGTTCTATGCAGTGAAAAGCTTAAATTATGAATGACACAAAGTATTGCTATCCTGTTATATCGTGACCTTGTTAAAATGTGTATTTTCAAAACACCTTCCTATTACATTTTTATTACCTCAAATGGGACGTATGTCTCAGGTAGCAAAGAATCATCTCTTTTACGCCAAACAAATATATATTTCGCCTTTAAATTTTACTAAGCATTCGTAAAATTTACGTAAAACTGAGACGTCAAATTATAGCAAAAAGTGGTTGCCCAAAAAACGTATAATTATACGTAAATAAATTTTTTTTCGAATATATTACGAACTTCTTTTTATTAGGTAAGAATAGGCAGGTTATTTTCACATATTATTCACGTCAAAAGTACGCTAAAATTTATGCAAGTTGAAACGTCGAATTTTAACATAAAATAATTATCCAGGAAACGGAACATTTACGTAAAGTCTTACGTAAGCAAATTTGTTTTTTTTGCGACTATTTTACCAACCACTTTTTACTAAGTAAGAACGGGTGTATTAATTTTGTATAATATTTACGTCACAATCTACGTAATTTGAAACGTCAAATCATACGAAAAAGTGGTTATCCAAAAGAACAGAAAATTTACGTAAATAAATTGGAAACGATATTTGCTTCGTCAATAATACGCGAAATACACAGAATCATATTTACTAAATCTAAATAGTAAATATTATTTCTTCAATCTTCAGTAAAATATACAGAAGCAATCTTACAGAATTGTAGTTGGTAATATCCATTCCGTTAATATTACGTCAAATATATGTATAAAGAGTATCATCTTTACCAATTTCCCAAACATTTACGTTTAATTTACGTATCATGCAACATGGGATCTTCGTCGATCAGAAAACGTGTATTTGAATCATATTCAAATTAGTTAAAAGGAGAAATGTCGAGAAACTAAATGCCTGTTTTATCTATTCGATGCTTTCGGACACTTTACTGGATCGTTCTCAATTTGTGGATAGCAAAACGAGAAAACAAATTTTATTTGGAATAACTGTTAAAAGAACTCCTCAAAACAGCGAAAAATACATTTAGCATTTTACATTTAAAACATTTAATGCAAATACATTTAGCAATTTTAAGCATAAAAGAAAAATTCTATCTGAAATTTGTTTATGTTAAAAAAAATTTACGAAATTGTATATGTTAAACCAAATGTTTAAAAAATGTTTACAAAATTGTTTATGTTAAACCAAATGTTAAAAAAATTACGAAATTGTTTATGTTAAACCAAATGTTAAAAAAATTTTTACGAATTATCAAAATGCAAATAAATTTTGTCAGGATTATTTTCCTTCTTAGGTAATCCCAAGTAATCCTGCCAGATTTTTTTTAAGTTTTGATAAAAAAAAAATTTAAAAAATATCTGCATTTGAAACTTTGTGGTTTAGTCTAGGTTCACCAGAATTCATTTTTCTCTTAACTTTAAATGTTAAAATACCATCGGAAGTGAAATAGAATTCGCCATGAAAAAATTCTCCCATGGTATAACCCTCTTAAGCCGGTAATGAAAATAATCTCTTTATATGAAAACAGTCCCATTTTATCATTACAATATTTTTGTTTCATTGGTTAATTTTTTGTCACTATCATTTTAACGTGGCTCTTTTGTATTTCAGAAAGAAATTCCCATAGAAGTGAGCTTCGACGCTATAGCGGGATCAGGATGTGCCATGTGTGCCTTTCTTTTAATTATCACAATATTCATTCTTCTTTCGATTTTAAGGTTTGTTCAACATTTTAACTCATTCATTGTGATTTGGAAAGTTCTTTTTTTATAACAGTGCATGTATTGTGTCGTTAAACAATTATTTCCCTATGTAAACGCATTTATAGTTTGTCTACGGTAAGAACTCCCCCTGCCATATAGTCTGAGGTCGTCTGCTGATATGGAAACAGGAACACTTCATTTCAGGGAGGGTAACTTCACTTCACTCTAGGGCTAACACAGTACACCGAAGAAAAATATTCCCTTTCTCTCGCCGACACAAGTCAAAACCTGTCCTAAACAGTGACCCCACACCCTTACTTGGAAGCATAGTCATCGCCACGGGTCCAGGCGAATGGCTAGGGGAGTTTTTACTTTAGACAAACTATAACTAGATTCATCTTTTGAATGACGATTCATCTTCTAGATTCATCTTTTTCCTCTAACAAATTGCCATTTTGGATTGAAACTTGTTTATCGAAGCTAATCCTAAATACAATATTTCTCACGTGATTTTTTTAATATTAAGAAGTGTACACTTAACGGAGAAAAAAATAATACTTACCTCGTCCAAATATTACAAACATAAATATAGTTCGATCACCTGGAGTAGGCACTTGGCTCCACCTCCTCGGACGAAGTGTTTATTTTAGCGCTGGAGTAAGAGGAGAGACGTCTCCGCGCTTGAAATTGAGACAACCCTTCATGCTCCCAAAACACATACAGTGATTTATTTTTCATTCACTTACTTCGCTTTATCATCTGCTATTGCACCTTTCGTTACTCTAGCTAATTAAATATATTTTAAATTTAAAAACTGCTGTTTTCTCAGTAAAATGTCTCAAAAAGGACAAACTATTCCCTTAAAAGAGAGAAATATCATCAAATTTATGAAATATATAATGTTAAAAAAATGCAAATAAAGATTGCGAAATAAATATTTTTGCCATACGATCTTGTTCAAGATTGCTCACATCCCAAAAATAGCGAAATAGTATCGCTGGATACCACGTGATGAAGGCGGAGCCAAGTGCCAACTCCTGGTGAACAAACTATATTTGTGAGTCTTCACTGATCACAAAACTTGAAGTAAACTTTGTAACTTAATACTAGAGTCTAAAGAATTACCTATCATTGCTGTATTTAGAATTATAGTCAATCATTGCATACATGTTTATTAGAAGTTTTTATGTTTCATGTCTACCGTTTTAGAGTAATATTTTAAAATATAATTTTCTACTTTTAGAACATATCTCGAAAATCTTTTAGAGATATCGAGAGGATACTGTACATACATTCGACAACTCTTGAAATAAAATTAGTTTATAAATCAAACATAGGCGCAGCACAAAGAAAACGTTAAAACGGATTTGAATTAGGCATAGTAAAAAAAAAAATTCAATATAGTTGACCTGTACCTTTTTTTTAATTATTCAATATATTTGTCATATGTGCACTGTAAAAAAATTTTAATGTATAGTTGTCCCCATTTTTGGGGTTGAGTTAAACAATGAATTTTTACAGTGCATGTAATTGCAGTTTTTATTTACTTTTTCACTGATATAGTTTTATTTATTAATTCATCTTGCATCTGTTTACCAACAACACATATTTTCATACACGTTAGAACAAATTTAATAGTTTTATAAGCGATCGCAATGCTCGAATACGCCATCTAGGGAGAAGACCGGTTCCATGTCTTTGTTCCTTCCTCCTACCCTCCCTCCTCTTTTTAGTAATGTAATTTTCAGTTCCATATATGTAGTTTCCTAACTTGAAAGATTTTAATCAATTTGAAATTCTAGACATAAACTAGCGTACTTTCTTCTCCTATGGCTCTCCACGCGTTAATGGTGAAAGCATGCGAAGTGTTGCCATATGTAGAGAGTTCTGTTCCACGCCACCTGTCGTCCATTTCCATCACCACTTGAAGAAGAAAAAACATTTCATTTAAAAAAAAACAAGCACATTTTTATGGTGGCAATTATTCACCAAAATGTTTTACAGTGTATATAAATTATCTTAAGATAACATAATTTTGTTTATTGAACATGTTTTTATTACACAAACTAAAAGTATACATGCTTTTTGTAACAGTAAGATTCTGTTTCTGTAATGCAACATTTGAGACTATAACAAACTTTCACCTTCTTGTATGTAATAGTAAACAACCCATCGTTGCCATCTGACGATTTCTATTTGTTCGGCAAAAATGATGCATGCCTTCTCCTTTTGGTGTGGAAATTCTTATGCTACTTTTAAATAATATATGGGCCATTGATTTAGTGGTGAATTGAAGTAAAGTATTTCTTCACCCAATTATTTCAGTCACCAGAATGAGATAGGTATTGCACCATAGTTTTTACAGTGTGTAATTGCGTGGAAAAAATAAAGAATTCGTCATTCTACTTATCCTCTATTTCCTTCAAGATGTTGTCACGTATATTGATTTTGTTTTCTTTTATTCTATAAAACAAACTATTTTCAAGATAAAAAAGATTTCTTTGTTATTATTAAGAATTGTTAATCGTAACAGTACTTGGACATAATATCCTCCCTTTTGCAAGTGAGGATGCTTTGTCCAAACACGATTGACATAGAAAATCGCGTTCTGTAATATTTTTGTGAGCAAGGTTTTGAGGTTGGTTAGAGATCAAAATCTCCTTAAATATTATTGTGAAAAGCATTATGTGCTTCATGATGTTGAAAGAATTGTTGCATGAAAAAAAATGTCTTACGCTTTATAGAGTTTTGTATTAAAAATGTTACTTTTGTTTTCTTTTTTGGTCTTAACAGGAAAATGCGTGGGGCTATTACCGCACTGAAATTACAAGTATGCTTAGCTTTATTGGGAGCTTTTGGAATATTTTTATGGGGATTACTAAAGCCACTTTCTGAAGTAAGTGTTTCGAAATTTTAATATAGTATAATATTGTACTGTTATCACATATTTATGTCCGTATTTATTTTATTTTTCTTTCTGTAAATGTTTAGCTGTATATATAAATATATCTAACGTCGTTGTCGAGAGGAAGGATAAAACAGGTCTTAGACAGGGAAGGAGGGAACAATATTTATTTATTTATTATAACAGTGAGAACAATCATCCAAGTGACATGCAAATCGTAGTGCCCTTCAGTAAAAGTTAAGGAAAATCTAGCAAAATAAATCCGTAAAATGTTTCGTCTTAGAGAATAAGGGAAATCTTAATAATTGTTATTGGTCTATTAAATAAGACGAGGGAAAATGTCTTTCTCACTGGTTAGTAAAGGGACAAACGTTAAAATGTTAATTATAATGCATAGCTTGAAGCCAAGAATAGATTAAAAGACAGGATGTGAATATTATAGTGTAAGAAAAAGCGTTTAATTTGGAATAATAAATTTTTAAAAAAAAGATTTAGATAAAGGAATAACTTATAATATTAGTTGAAGCTTTTTAGGAATCTAGATATTTTATACAACAATCCATGTTATCCTATAAAAAAATAAGATAAAGTAAAGCATTCCCCAAAAATGTACAAAACCCTGGTTGATGAAGTCATAAGAGCATGTTTTTCAAACAAGTAATTTTGTTGAAGATACATTTTTAAAATAAATAGTATGAAAGGTTTGAATTTCAGATAAAATATTATTTGATGGACGAATTCGTTTTTAAAATAATTTGTGAAGGGTCTTTTAAGGGATCCAAATTTTTTTTTATTTAATTAAACACTCATTACTAAAACTATTCCCTCTAAAAGAATATTAATCTCTTATTTCAAGTATAATTAATATTTAAGAATTTTATCAACTTTAAAATTATTTTTTCTAACTTTTTCTACACTTTTATTTCAGGCTATTTTTTAAAAATTATTAATTAGAACACAACAGGAACTGAATAAAAAAATAAATTTAAAATGTATATCTGAGCTACATAGTTAATTATTATTATTATTATTGACTAATCATCGTCGTGATTTAAAACTTATTTAGAAACATTTCTACAATTTGTTCTTACGATTTTTTAATCTCATTAGCATTACTTTTAATAACAAATTCGAAATTGTCAGCATTTTTCTTACATTCTATACATAAAAGATTTATTCTTTCGTCTCTTTTTCTTTTCCCGAAAATTATAAAACATTTTCTTAATATATTAAGTCATTTTTGGAAATTAATTTTAAAAATTCAGCTCCCAGAGAAATATGATTGAACAAATCAACTTAGCATTAAGTAAAATTTTATCGAATAAACTCATTACGGTAAAACTTGGATTATAAATTATTCAAATTTACATAAAAATTGTAAAATTAAACAAAAGTGATGTCTAAATTAGAACTCATAAATTATGCACATGCCTGACGTTGTTAAAATAATCGATTTAGAGGGGTATAAAACTAATTTTACTTTCATCTGTAGGAGTTCATAAAATAAATTATTTAAGTGCTGGAAGAGATAATTACGAATTTAAATAGTAATGATAATAATGCAATTATTTTTTAAACAAGCGAACCTTAATTTTTAAGGTTAGAAAAATTGAAAGTTTAAACCAAGTTTATTCATAACTTTAATTAACCTTTTAGCTCAGATAACAAAATTATCCTTTTCTCTGTTTTTTTTTCTCCGTGCTTCTTTTAGTGTTTCAAGTCGTTGTTAACATTCAAATAATTTAATAAGTAGAAAGAGAAGCATATTAAGCTAAAAGCTTATAAAAGAAAACTAAAAGCATATTAAACATTTTATTTAATTCTACCCGGTTATATAATGGGTCAAACTATGGCTTAATCATTCTCGCTGCTTAAAATTGATTCGTGAAAGGTCGTTTCTTAAAAAATAAATTTTTGGATTTTGAGAGTGTGAGAAAAAAACTTCAATAAATGTTTTTCTTTTCATTTTTCGATCGAGTTAATTTAACAAAACTAAATATTTTATTTCATGTTGCTAGACGTTAATCTGATTAAAAGGTTTATAGGCTTCATCGAGCGTGGATAGCGTACTCACCTTCTAATGAGTTAGCCCAGGTTCGAATCCTAAAGATGGCTGGTCGACACGAATTCTACTTTTTGTTCACACCAATCATAATGCTGAAGTAAGAGTTAGAATACCCCGGACATCGGGCTAACCGTAGGAGGTTTTCAGTGTTTCCCTCTCTATGAAACACGAATGCGGATTGGTTTCATCAAAAGGTTTTCCGCGAAAGCTAGCTTGTCCCAATGCTCGATAAAATAGCTATCGCTCTTGTTAATAAACAGTATATACATAGCTTAATATGCGCGCTTCAACTAGTGGACAAAGAAAATTGACCCCTCTTGATTATAACAGTACTCATAAACGAACATTTGTTCGTACACACTAAGGTACATTTATGCCAAATTCTGTGTTTTTATCATCCTTGTTATGCAAATTAGCCAAATCTTTATATCTCATATTATTTGTTTCATTTTTAGTACTAATTACTCATTTTTATGCTGACAAAAAACTCGCCTAATTGCACCATATTTTCTTATCGATGTATCATGTCTTATTTGATGATTTGCACTTTTAAAAAAGAACACTTTGGTTGTGGTAAAATAATTTCTTTTTAATTCAAGATATTTGCAGAGATGCCAACTTGCTCCGGACAGAAAATATATATTTTAAAGTGGTAGTTTATCAATTGTAAATCTTGGTTTAATAAATTCAATTTAGTAGATTTTTATCCACCACTATTTCTAAATAATTCGTAGGCTTACATAGTTCACCACTTTATAGAACATATGTCATGTTATAGCTTTTGAAAAGCAAGCAGAAATAGTCAAATATTTCAAAAATTTACTTTGTAGTTATTTACCGTTATTTTAATTATTTTGGCGTGTCCGGGGCAGTTGGCNTAAACTTATTTTTACCACTGTGGCTGAAGTACATGGTTGTAGTAACAGATGTAATTGTAGTAAAGTTTTTAGTTATGTACAAGATATTTGTTATAAGTGAAAATTACTTTTTATCGAAATGATGACACTCAAATATTTAATCGTAGTTAAATTGTTTATTTTTCATGCATAACATTGTTTCTTTTTCATACAGTTTTTTTTTACAAGTGCAAACTAAAGTAATTACAAACATGAAATACGAGTGCACTCATACATATTGCACTCGTAACAAATAATAAATTGCAACGCATTGATTATGCATATTATAAATCAAAGTGCAGTCGGACTTGTATTTAACGAACTTCCATTTTGCAAATTTCTCTATTTTGCGCATTTATTTCGAGGAACCAAGAACATTTTGGAAATTTCTCCGTGAAACTAAAATAACTTCCAAATAGCGAAGTGAAGTTTCTATTTAACGAACTTTCCTTAGAAATCCATTTTAACTATTTCCCAAAATATTTCAGAACATTTCGAACTTGTTAACGGGGGAAATGACCTTGAATTGATATTCGCAGCCACTTAACTTATAGAGATAGCAGTATAATCCCATTCCCTTTCTGTTTACATTTTATTCAGGAATCCATGCAAGGAAAAATTTAATTTACAACAAAAACATATAATGAAAACTTACATTGTAAAGAATTAGATAATTGTAAGGAAGGGTTGAGGAACGCGTCCTCTCTCCACGCGAGTCAGTTTGGAAGTGAGTGAGTATGAGGGGGTTTACAACCGGTTATGCTGGCTGGATTTACCTCACTTCAGTTCGTTTTGGAGTGGTCAGGAGGGTTGTCGAGGTACATACTTGGGGACTGGGTGTTTGCCGAGGCACACCACAAAGCATAACAGACATTTCTAAAGCATGGAACTATGATGTTACAGATCGTACTATTCGTAAGTTTTGCTAAAACTGGATTCTTAGTCAGTGCAGAGAATTTGGAAAGGGCGGAGGACGAGGATGATGTTCCTTTAGATTGTATAACATAAAAAATATAGGTACAGCTAAGAAAGAGCCACAAAATTAACGATGATGTACTGATTAATGATTTTCTTTTTATCGATTCTGAAGCTGCAAACACAGAAACATTAACTGAAACGGATAATTTGGGCAGTGTGAAAATTAAAAACAATACAGCAATAAATTGTGAGGAAGACGAAAACAGAAATGATGAAGAAATCACCAAACCTTCATATGATGAAATGTTAAAATCATTTGAAACAATTTGATAGTAGATAATAATTTAAAAGATAAAGGTGTATCAGTTGCTATTTTAATTATGTCTAGTGTTTATGAATTTAAAACCTGCTTTGCGTTTAAATATTTTAAATGGTGATTTTTTTTTGCAGGAATTTTTTTCGTACACAGTATCTTTAATTCAGTTTTTTCTACTGACTGCCTTTTCTTTACAATTATGTATGGCACTGGTTGTTTATATCGAAAATGTTGATATCAAGAACACACAATATTCCTTTACAAAAATTTCAGCTCTTGGATGGGGTAAGTTTTATTACAACTTTTACACTTACCTTGAATGACCGAATGTCGACCTTCACCGGTGAATGTCAACAATCACATGGTCGCTTTGGTGAATGTCCGAAATATTTGTTATATCCGATTTGATATTAATTTATTCGTTGATATTATTATATTTATTCGATATTTTAATATCTGCTGAAGATAGATTAGGAGAAACATCAGTGTCCAGAGTACCAGTTAAATGCACACTGGGCAGTGACACTTGACCTTGAAAAACATTGATGTGAAGCAAATTATGCTGCTTTGAGGAGAACTCCTCCAGACTAAAAGTCTGTGGCTGTTTACTGCTATGGTAACAAGCGAGGGCACATTTCTCATGGTGGTGCAATGGAGGAATGAAGTTGTCGATTGGCTTACACAAGCTGACTTATGCGATGATTAAGACAAAACTATTATCTCCACACCCCTATTCGAAGTGACTTATCCTCGTAACTATGGTACCCGCCACGACGCGAGAATGATGTCTGTAGGAATTCTCCTGAAAGCCACACTATACCGGGCAATGTCACTGAACCTTAAAACACATTGATGTCGGGCATGTAGTTTGTCTAAAATAAGAACTCCCCCAGACATTCGCCTGGACCTGTGGCCGTGACTATGGTAACTAGGTATGACTATTTAAAGCAGGGGTACGGGGTCACTATTTTGGAGTAGTTTCGGCTAGAAAAAGGGTATCTCTTTCTTCGGTCTATTGTGTTAGTCCCAGAGTGAAGCTACCCTTCCTAAAATGCGCCATTCTAGTTTCCATAGCACCAGACGGCTTCAGACTTTGTGGCGGGAGGAGTTCTTAACTTAGACAAACTATACCGGGCAAATGTGTTCTGGACAGTGGCACTGAACTTTTTAAAAAAAACATTGATGTAGGGCATACCGGGCAAATGTATTACCGTGACATGGCACTTAACTACACCTAGTATATATTTCGGACATACGATTATCAACATTCACCGGTGGAAGTCAACAACTACTCATTTCTGTCATTCACAGTAACATATTTATCTCAAAACTTATGATTGCATTTATTTTTTTAGCTATTCCTGTGATAATAGTTGGAGCTACGTTAGCCGCTCAGAGCTTAGAAGGTTATGCGTTAGACGGGTAAGAATATATTCATGCTTTTACGTGGTATCGCTAAGTAAACAAAAAAAATGAAAACTCTGAATTTCGCGTACTGGAACTCCATATCTTAACGTTTCGAAGGCCAAGCGTTAAATATGCTAATTAATTAGTACAGACGATGTTTTAAGTTACGAAATCAGGCGCAAAAACGTAATTTTTCTGAATAAATATACTTGTTTCGACTAAAGTGTAATTTTTATCCCTTAAAATAAGGGGAGGGGGTAACCACAATCTGGAAAATACGGTTCCAATAGTTAGATCAGGAAAGCGATCGGAAGTTTTGACCTCTTAACTTTTTGCTTATTTCGCCATTTTTGGAGAACTTAATAAGCGCATCGTTTTACTGAGCGTGATTATTTTTAGTTGTAGAAAGTTTGTCGATGATAATATATTTATTTATTTCATTTATTTATGTTTTCAAACCGAAAGTCGCAGCAATTTTTGTAAGAAATTTCTTTTTTAAATAATGGAAAACCTTCTAAAGCATTAAAATAATTTCCTAGCAAAAGGAACGCGCGAGAAACATTGTATTTGAAGGGTAAAATAATTAAATGCTACGTTTCTGGAGAACTTAAGAAATTATAAAACGTTAAAATAATTTCCTAGCAAAAGTATATTTATATTTAATTGAAGGGTAAAATGACTTCTTTGTTTCCCTGCACGCAAGTTTAAGTATAAGTGCTGCCATCTATTGGAAGTTCTAGTAAGCATTTGAACACTTACAATTTATGTGTAAGAAAATAATTAGTCTGATGAGGAAATATTGTGGCTAATCACAATTCACAGAGCTCTTCATTTTTAAATTAGAGATAATGAAAGATATTAACTGAGTATTCATTTTCTTTTCAGGTGGTGGTTAACGCTAGGATCGAACTTTTTTTATGCATATACATCATCAATTTTAATTCTCACAATGGTAAATATTTTCAATTCAATTTCTCTTGTAATTACCTCGCTCTATGCTCTTTGCTAATTCTTAACAATTGTTACTTACAGAAAAAACTCATTATCGAAGTTTAAAAATTCGATTATTATTTTTAAGTAAGAATAAGATATCAATATTCTGAACTATAACAATATTGCGTCTGTACGTCCGAATCGAAACTTAAATGATATCTATAGAAAACGAACTGACCGACAACCTAATTTAACATACATAGTTTTAAACGCAAGGATAAAAGAAAGTAAAATTATATCACTTATTTAGCAGGCAGAAGTTCAAAATTAAATTAAATTTAGCAGGATTTAATTCACTTTTTAAAAATAAAGGGTGTTCTGAATATTGTGCAAAATTCCAATTTTCACCAATTTAGCTATAAAAATTAGACTCAATTTAAAGTTGGAGCGCTGTACAACTATCAGCTCAATTTTTTTTTAAAATTAAAATTTGCTTCTTGTGTAAATTTTAGTACACCTCATTAGGATTCGAGGTTGTTAGTCGTAATTTGCTCCTAAAAATTTTAATTCGACACTTAGAAAATTACCCCCAGTTTTTATTTTTGACGCCTAATTTTACAAAATACCTTGGCTCCTGGGATTCAATTTCTCGCCGAACTATACGACGGTCAGAAAGTCATGAGTATGACGATGACGTAACACGTTCCGAATATTGGCGGATGTCCGAACTAGAAGTTGTGGGCATGACGTCATTCGCTTCATTTTCCAGCCTTTTCTTGTTGTTGTTATAGTAGGCCATTAAGGCACTGGAGGTGAGATTGTTCTTATCTTCCAGTGGCGCCATCTATGGCCGAGAATTCTACTTCTACTACACCCATGTGTCACACCCGTTTATAAAGCTGCTCATTCATTTATCTACAGATATTAATTTTGATCTGAATCAGAGACCGATCGATCTCCAATTCAGTACCCCCAGAAGTGTTGATTCGTTATGAGAACATGAAGGACTTTGTGATACAACAGATTTAACGTGCATCTGTCACCATTTACTACACGGAAAGTCTTCAGCCGGCTGGATTCTAACTCCCATTCTCATGAGCGTGAGTCCAGCACCCTACCAACCAGGCTATTCCGGCCCTACCCTTTTCAATCTCGAGGCTTTTGACTGTGAAATTTGTATCATTTCATTCGTCTACCTACGTAGCAGAGTCACGACGTCATACGTATTCACTCTATTTAAAAAAAAATAACATCGCTATTCGTATTCACGTTATTCAAAAATCACACATTCCGATTCGATTCGCATTCAAGCTATTTAAAAATCACACATCGCAATTACGCGTTAACGCAAATAGAAAATCACTGTGCAACTTATAAACCACACATCACGCTACAGAAAAATAGCATATCATGATTCGTATTCACGCTTTATAAAAATCACGCATCGCGATTCGTATTCAAACTGTTTCAAAATGATGCAATAAAGGAAAAGTTAGCTGAGCTGATACAGAAAGAAAATGGTGCCCATTATTTGCTAGAAAAGGATAATGAAACATTAAAACTAGAGTTTAAGGACATAAATATTACTTTATGAATGGTTTAAGCTGCAACTATCGGTATGAAAACTAATATTAGTGGCCATAAAATTAAAATATTATTAATTCTTGTTTACAATTCTAGTCTCAGCTATTACTAGTCTTGAAGTTCTTACTTCTAATTCTAGTCTTTAAAGTAATGAATGTATTTAAAAAGAGATAGTTTATCATATTTTTTATTCATTTCTTTTCCCTTTGCTTATCAAGCTATTTCCTTTTATGAAAATGAATGTAAGAAGTTAATTTTAGCTGTTTTATTTTTCATGTTCAAGAGTGTTGATATGTTTTGCATCATGTAAATATTTTAATTTTTATTGACTAAATTTATTTATAAGCAGGCTGTAAATATAATTTTTGTATATATACGGTGAGAAGAGCCGGTGGCTCAGGGGATAAAGCGTTCACCTTCCAATGGGGTGAATCGGGCTCGAATCTCAGCGATGACTGATCGATCCGAAATCCGTAAGATATCCTCAGTGGTCGACGTATCATGGGCTAGAGTCCACTTGCTCTCAGGCAGGTTTTCGTGGTTTTCCTCTCCATGTAACGCAAATGCGTGTTAGTTCCATCAAAAAGTCCTTCACAAAAGCAAATTTCTCCCAATACTCGATCCTGGAGTTCCCCTGTCTTCTGGATTGGGTTCAAAATGACAAGGCTACGGTGTTAAACGTTAGTAGTCGTAAACCCAAAAAATTAGGTCGGTTGTTGAATGATGGTTGTAACGAGTCAATTACACAAATTAAATTTGTAGAAAATTTTAAAATTTAAACATCCAGCCGTGATTTTGTTATTTATGTATTTTTTAAAAAAAATATAAGTTTAGATGATTGTGCATGTTTTTTTCAGAATAGTCTTATTTAGAAAAAATTATTCCTACCCATTATGATAAAAAAATAATAATAAGGATAAAAATCCTACCCACTATGATTAAAAAAAATATAAATATCATGGTTAAAAATATAATTTTAAAATTACTCACAAGGAAATCGTTTTAACAACTAAGAAAAATTATTTAGATGTCATTGACGCCTGACTGTCACGTTCTAATTTTCTAACCCTGCATCTCATAGATTTATCGGCTCTGACATGATTTAAAAAATATTATCCTTAATTTAAGCTTGGTGTGATGAAAGCCCTCTTTGGTTTTCATCATTTAAGTCAATACGGGCTCAGGTGATGAAAAAACTAAAATGTATATCTAACTAATCACTATTGGAGAAAGCGAAATTAAAAACCAAAATCTGTTTGGTTGTGGAAGGAAAGAGTGTTTAAAAACGATTGGCAAAAACACCTGGAAGCTTTCAGCGGCATTCAAATGTATCCTGACACAACAGCCCGTTGTATACCATTGGGTTCATAGAGATTGCGATATCACAATGTCACGTCCAAAGGCATTTGTGGCAATGTGGTCAGCATTGCTCATAATACCGTCTTTACTTTGCGGATAAGCTTCTACAATTTATGACAAAGTATGACCAAATTTTTTTCATTTATTAAATTTGCAATATTAATTAAGAGATATATACGGGTATAGGACAAAATAATAGGAACACCTGTGAAAAAATGGAAATATTTTATTAATAAGGAGTTGGGACACCTTTGGCCTGAATGACAGCTTGCATTAAACGTGGGATTGACAAATAAAGTTCTTGAACAAAGTTCATTGGAATTTGCAGCCATTCCTTTTGCAGGGCTGTCTCGAGTTCAGAGAGTGTGCGTGGAAGAGGAAACTGAGCACGGACTTTTTTCTCTAAAAAACCCTACAAAGGCTCAATGATATTGAGATCAGGGGACTGAGGACACCACGTTAGATGTTCCACTTCATCATTATGCTCATTTAACCATGTTTCAACACAGTGAGACGTGTGAATAAGGGCGTTGTCATCTTGGAACACAGGAAGTTCTCCCGGAAAGACAGTATGAAGCATAGGGAGAAGATGATCAGCGAGAATGCTTCGGTAATGGTCTCCTTTGACCACCACCCTCAAGACAACAAGAGGCCCCAACCGACAGGCAGATATAGCGCCCCACACCATCACAGAACCATCGCCATGTTTCAAGGTTGGAACCAGGCAGTCAACACGAAATGCTTCTGCCGGTGTTTGCCACACGAACACACGTCCGGTGGTCTGGAATAGTGTGAAAGAAGATTCACCAGACCAAATGACTTGTTCCCATTGCAGTTGTGTCCATTTTAGGTGGTCTTGGCACCACTGTAGTATCTTCAAAGCATTCCGCTCTGTAACTAACGGTTTTGGAATAGCTACTCCACCATGAATGTTGGCAGCATGCAATTCCCGTTGAATAATTTTCATGGATACGGGGTTCTTAAGAAGGGTATTCATCCCGGACGTTATCACCGGCAGTGTAGTCTTGCATTTTCGAGTGACTATCCTTTTCAACACCCGTCTATCACGGTCCGACAACTTCGACTTCCTGCCGCTGTTGTGCTCCGCAGAAGACACCTTACCCTACTTTGTGTATGTCGACAGAGTCCTTGATACAGTGGTCCTTGAAACACCCACAAGGTTCGCTGTTTTGGACACGAATACTCCGGCGATGCGAGCTCCGATTATCATGCCTCTTTTAAGGTCAGAGAGGTGGGACATAATCTCGCTTTGCTAGGAACAGATTTTTTCTCATGCAACTTTCACACTGCCAAATGCTAGACTGATACCTTTCCTTTCATCACCACTAGGTGGCACACTCTTGCGACATGTGCCCGCCGTTTATTGGACGGTCGAAGGACGACTCCGTTCTTTCACAGGTGTTCCTATTATTTTGTCCTATACCTGTATTTTGACTAAATTTTTAAAAAAAATTGCTTTTGATCTTTGTTTCAGATTTTACTTTTAGTAGTGACCATTAATGATTATTATGAAATGTTCTCTTTACAGTTTCAAGTTTTATTGTTTCTTATTGTGAAAACAGAAATCAAAAATTACCGAAAAGTAGCTGATTTTTTACAAAATAAAAAACTAAGATTTGAAAATAGTCGGTGAGTATGCTTTTCTAAATCATTTAATGCATTTTTAACACACGTAGGTTTAATTTTATTTTTCCTTTAAGTTTGATCTACTTTTGACTATTGTATTTCATTTGAGGATTTATAAATATTTAAAAAAATATTTTACAGCAGTCAACATGTATTTGTTTTGCATTCATCTTAGGCTTCTTGTGGTTGAATGTAAAGTGGAATAACACCAGAGCCAGAAACAATTTATATTGCGCCAAACAAACTACATAAAATAAAAGTTGGCACATTTTAAGTAGAATTCCTAAAATATTTAGACTCTTATGTAAAGCATTTTATATTGCGCCAAACTAACTACATAAAATAAAAGTTGGTGCATTTCAAGTAATATTGATTGATTCTTAAAAGATTTGGACTCCTATGTATAGCATTTTGGAGTAAATTAAGGTTATAATAAAATTTTGCTCAACAAACTTTTGCAAGCGGGGAGAAAATGATGTTTAAATAAAATTCTACCATATGAATTCCCTGTGTAATACAATATACTCTCGATATCTCAAACTTCTTTATCTCGGAAACCTCGTTATGTCATTAAAATATTTCTCCCTTTGGCATTACATGTCAACATAATGTTAATTTAAGTTCCTACGTCGAAGAGTTTCTTCTCAAAACCAAGTCGAATATTTTTCGAAATAGAACATGAATTTCGTCAGAAAAATCACTATGTAAGTTTATTGTAAATCAATTATTTTCTATTTAATGCATACTTATTTTTGTCTTACTTCTAAAAATAAAATTATCATTACTGTATTTAGACTTTTAGTCAACTATCAATACATACGTATTTATTCGTAGTTATTTGTATGTTTCATGATTCTACTTTTTAGAGTAATATTTTAGAATATGTTTTTATACTTTTTAGAACATATTTAGCTCTGAACTCTTTATCTCGAAAACTCACTATCTCGAATATCTTTCAGCCTCCCTTCAACTTTGAGATATCGAGAGTATACCGTATATCCTTCCAATATTGTGTAACATTCCAGCAACAGCGCATATTGTTGGGCAGAGTAATTATGGAAATGTGGTCAACGTTGTCCACAAACCGCCTTTACTTCTCAAAGAAGCTGGAAATAATTATTCTGCCTTATATTTAAGCCTCAGTTCTTCAACATGACAGCTCGATAGCGTCACAAAAACTCACAATTCTCTATGTTAAATTCCAAATTAAAAACTTTAGTATTATTAATCACAGAATAAAACTAATTTTTCAAAGTGATCCAAAAACCTGTGTCAAACGATGAAAATTACAGCCAGAGATTGTGATTTATTAGTAACTATTTTATTGCTTTCAATTAATAACCACCATTTTTTTCTTTTTTCAGAATAACCCTTCTTCATCGTTCCCTGTTTTTAACAAGTACCCTCCTATTTATGTCGATGTCAAGTATTTTATACGTCAATTACGAACAAAAAATTTATGAATACCTATTTGCTTCGAGCTCAATACTTGTAGTAAGTCTATTTATCTCTTTTTCTTTTCTTTAAAACTGTCTCGATTGTTTTTCTGAATGTACACCTAAGAAGTTTTTATAAATGCAAAAGAAGAGATATACTAGGAAGTTAAGAGATGTTTGCTGACTGGCTCGATTATCTCTAGAATTACTTGACCTATTTTAATGAAATACGATATAAACATACATTGATACAATACAAAACAAATAGCCATTCAACAATTGTAATACACATACGCATGATCGTGCATAACACTCGTTGGAATCGGAAGGTATGAAACAGCGGTTACAGAATTAACAACAACAACAAAAAATAGGTTAATAGGGGGTATGGTCCCCTCTTACAGATATACAGGCCTTGGAGAGCGTGACTTCATACTTCAAATGAAGTAGTTAATCATTTCCTGTGGCAATCGGCCTGAATTGTCCTGTGGCAATTTCATACCTTCAGACTCAAATGAGTGTTACGCATGATCATGCTTGTGTATTCATACAATGCGATTGTATTGTATCATTGTATGTATACATATCAAATTTCATTAAAATCGGTTACAGAAGTTCTAGAGATAATCGACCCAGTCTGCAAATTCTCTTAACTTCTTACAACAGTGTATTTGGGTTATCTTAGTTCCTTTTCAAGCTTTTTATTAATGAATCTAAAATTAATCAAATAATTCTTCGATTTTCCTCATTTCAAGATGGCATTTAATTAAGTGTGGCTAGAAAATAACGAGACTGTAAAATGTTATATTTTGAATTCAAGCATTTTTAGGTATTATAACCTAAAATACACACTCTTTCTCTGTTTCTACTATGTTCCATAAATTTTTTTTTTTACCTTGAGCTTCTTTGTGGAGTGCTGCTTTTTCTTTTAAACCTTCAATCGAACAATATTCTGTTCTATTTAATGCAGATTTGAACACGTTAAATACATAAAACTCTGGTGGTGCGAAAATCAGGCAAATATGGTAGATGAACCATTATTCATTAGTGCCCTTATTCACTATTGTAGTATTGCCACTTGAAAAATTTTGTTTTTCTCCAATACTTGAAAACATTACCAATGATCCGATACTTGATCCAATACTTGAAACAACCCAAAATATTACGAGAAAAAATATTTTTGAAAAATTAAAAAAAAAAGAATGAAACATGCCAAATAGTTTTGCTGAAAATTGCATGGAAATCAAAAATGTAAAGCCTCCAGACCTATCTCATTTGTCTGATTTATTTTCTTCCTTAAACTGACTCTAAAACAGAATCGTGGAGATAAAAAAAGAACATTTTGGGGGCAATTAAAATTTCAGTATCGACAAAAGTTTTAAATTCTTTATTCCTTTTTTTTCAGGGACTTGTTGTTTTCTTTAGCTATACTTTCTGTAGTGAGAAGGTAAAGTATAAGTTTTTTATTAAAACTATTTGGAATTAAATTATTAAATCAAATACCTTTATCACTATCGGTAAATAGTTTAGTTATCCATAATATCAACTACCATTTTGAAAAAAATATCGAAGCATGGCTAGTATAAATTTAAAATTAAAGATATCGCAAGGTTCGGTGGTTTAAATAAAATAATAACTACAATAAAATAATAACTACAATAAAATAATAATTACAAGAAAATAATAATTAAAATAAATTAATAATCACAATAAATGAATTATTACAATGTTACTTAATCATTGGATGAAGCATCAATTTTCAAAACTTCAATTTTCAAAATGCCGCCTGTAAAAAATATGATCATATTCTAAAAAAGCTTTTTTTAGCCCCATTTAAACTTTTTTTTTGAAAAAAGTCAAAAAGTTAGATTAATGAGACTGTGCAAGTGTGAAACAAATTTGTAACTAGTTTGGAAATCGGTTTAAAGTTTAGTTATCGATACAAAGTTCATAAATTATTCAACCCATTGATTAGCAGTTTAAAGCACAAAATATTGATTTACAAATAAATTTGCTATTCTTGTCTTTAGTAATGCACGCAATCGATTTAAGAAAAAAGCAGTTCATTACATGCGAACGGTTTATGAGTTAACTAAGCGATTGTCTAAAAAAGAGTTAGCAACGCAAGCGGTAATGTAAACAATAAGTTAGCAATACCTGCCATTGATTCATTAATTAGTTTCCAATTCACATAAGAACTTTATAAAGTACATACGATTGACATGCAGACTAAAGATAATCACTTTGTTTTAACTTGCAAATTAAGAAGTGCCTCAGTAAGGGCGCACAAAATTATAAAATAAAAAAATTTATTACTTTAAATAACCTTTGTTACAATAATCGGATTTTCATAAACGAAGTTCCAATCTTATTGTTTCAAAAGAGTGACCTAAATATGTTAATTAATTAACGCTAACTGTTAATTAAGTTACAAAAACAGATACAAAAATGCAATTTTTCGGAATAAGCACGCATGCCTTTTCAACAAATATGGATTTTATTGGGCTATCGAAATATGGAGGGGGGAGTAACACACTGAAAAGTAGGGTTCCAGTATTTTCGGGACAGCAGCTATCCATAGTTTTTACCCCTTAATGTTTATTGCCATTTCTGCTTATTTATTTATATATTCTTCGATATAAGTACTTCTTCAGCGAACTGAAAAAGTTTTGAACGTAACAAGATTCGTTTACTCAAAAATAATTTCATGTAAAAAATAATGGTTTATAACATAAAAGAAAATATTATTTTTTTGTGGAATTTCTTTTGAAGACTGGCATGATTTCTAAATTAAAATCTTATTTTAAGTGGTAATAATAGAACTTTCTTTTGTTTACAGCATTTTCTTTTCTGCTGTGTGAAAGTAAAGAGTGAAAAATCAATTGAACACGAAGTACGTATTACAAAAATATTTATACTTTCCATCATCATAAGTCAACCCTGACGAAACATCATTTTTAGGGCCCAATCTTTTGGTCATGGTAGGAAGGCCACGTCATTTTGATTCTGGGCAGACGGCGTGGACAGCGTCTGAACTGATACCCCTCTCTGAAAACTTCCACGCCACAACCAATGAGAGAACTTTCATCCACGACAGATTTTAGCACACAGTTTATTGAGAATACATGCCAGAGTTCGTCATCGGTTACAGTAATCGATTACAACTGCAATTGATTACAGCTAATTACTGCTATGTAATCAATTACTTGTAATCAAGATTACAAGTAATCATAATTTTTGATTACAGAGTAGGGCAAAAATGTAATCGATTACATATTTCAATTACAGTAATCAGTTACTAGTAATCCTGATTACAAATTGTGATTACAACTGTAATCGTGATTACAATACTCAATTACAGTAATCAATTACTTTACGCTTTATCATGATTACAAACACTCGTAATTTTAATTACACAACTGTAATCGTCATTACAATACTCAATTAGAGTAATCAATTACTTGTAATCATGATTACAAACATTCATAATTTTAATTACAACTGTGATCGCGATTTCATAACCAATTATAGTAATCATGATTACAGATGTAGTCAACATTATAAAAAATTGTAATCATGATTACAAGTAATTAATTACTGTAACCGACTATTGAAATCACGATTACTGTTGTAATCACGATTGTAAGTAATTAATTACTGTAATTATATGTTGTAATCACGATTACAGCTGTAATCAAAATTATGTTATCTTGTAATCACGATTACAAATAATTTATTACTGTAATCGAAAAATGTAATCGATTAAGTTTTTGTCCAACTCTGATACACGCTTTGTCATCCATTATGATAGAACTCATTTCTAGTCAGCGGCGCGAGCCAACTGCGCCAAGGAAAAGCATCATACTTTTCATGGACTTCCTATCGAAAAATTTCCAACCTGATATATCACCTGTTGACATTTTACTTCCAATATCAAGTGTCCATTTTTAAGTCATCATGGGAACTACGTAATGAAAAAATGGGTGCAAATGCTCTGATGGTTTAAGAGTCGAAGGCAGAGAACTGGAGGTTTTGAGTTCGATCCTGGCAGTCGCCCAAACAATCGGTGTTTTTAAATGCACCTTGCTGCTTATAATCCTCTGCGGCTAAAAATTCTCAATTGCTATTGGTGTGGTGTAGAAGTTTGGAGAGAAACTTTCTGACGCGGCCCTGGAAACGTGTTCTGATCAAGGTCAAAATGACGTGGCATTTTTGGCTCGTTAACAGATAGAGCCTTGGAGCTAGGTGCTTGGCTATAAATTGACAAATAACAGAAAAAATAGTTTCGAGGAAACACAACTAGGTGGCAGATCTTAGATTTATAGATCTTAGATGTAAAAGTATTTACAAACAAAAATCAATATTAAATACATTTGGCAACTTCCTTACAAATTGAGATCAATATGATGTTCAACACTGGCTACCAATAAAGTGTTATAGCGATATCTCAAACAAATCTCATAAATTATATATAACAGTTAACTGTAGTCGTTGCGGAATATGCTTATTTTGATGGGGGGGAGGGGCACTTTTTCTAAAGAAACATTTTTTTTTACTGCGTTCGATTTAGCGAGCAAAAATAACCTCTAAAACCGAATTTCATTTTATTCTGACAATCGGGGGGCTTGCAAAGACAAATGAACATTTGGTATAAAAAATGGAATGTCACCAATTTTGGGCTTTGGTAGAAACAGATTTACGTAAAGAATTAGTGTTTATTTCTGAATTAATGTATCGTAAAAATACTTTTACTGCTGTCTCTTATGTGTCTCATAAACTACTGTAATTATAAATTTTAGTATTACTGAATAACAGAAATGGTAGCGGCTATTCCACGCCAAGTAGTGTAGAAGAATATACCTAGTTCTTAGTGTACTGAATCACATAGAATGAAGTGTTATGTACGGGGTTTTACTACATCACTTTGGTGTTAAATAGTTGCCTCAAATTTTGGGGTATTATATTTTACTCTGAAATAAAATTTTAAAATAAATGTACCCTAATTTTGTTTTGTGCCCGGCCGCTTCTTTAAGTTCGGAAACAGATTTTATGGCATTATGATAGTTTTTTAGATAGTCTCACTAGCATAAGTCGCAACGCTCTAAGTTTCACTATAAAAAGCTTAACTGTAGGAAAATGACAATGGTGTCATCTAGTGGTGGATTTTTAACTATATTTTCAAGATAAAATTCTTATCATTTTATTGAACAATTACCCAATATTTGACGTTTTTTTGGATAATTTCTGATGCAGACAATTCATGAATTTAATTTTATTTATAAATTCCATGTCTTGGTATAATTTTCGTCAAACGTATTGTAAAAGTCGTCATTCCAAATTTTGACTTATTTTTTTCCCTTCAAATTCGAGTTTCAAGTCGCAATAATAAAAGGAATAAAATTTCTAAAAATATTGATATTTTAATGTCTAGCCATGTATTTTAAAAATATTGCTATTTTAATAGCATACTCGTCTCTAAATTATTTTATTATTATTATTTTCAGGATTCAGACATGAGAAGTGGAACGGATTCATTTAAGAGTAAGAACAGAGTTATTTTTTTTTAACCACTGAATAGATTATATAAAGAAAGAAGTAACTATGCTTTAAATGACTAAAATTGATATGTGGAATCAAACAAATTTATTTTGAGGAATTTTTTACTTACCGAAACTGAAATACATGATAATGGCTTTAGCTCAGGGCTCGAAAAAACTCAGAAATTTTATCCGTCCCCGAGGACGGCTTGTCCAACAATGTACCCGTCCTCCTTTGAAACTAACCCGTCACTTCTAAATAAATAAAAACATAATTTTCTCTTATTTATCACAAACATTTATATAAATTGCACAATGAATTAGTAGTAACTAGGATTACAAATACTAGGTTACTAATAGTAACCTAGTATTTATTTTAAGAAATAATTTAAATGACAAAAGTCAAGTTATCTGGAATGTCAATTTATCCGAGGGTACTGCGTTTTTTTAAATGAATCAAATATGACGTTTGCGAGTTCCCCAATCAAGCCAATGATTTACAGAGGTTTCTGCACAGAAATTGGAAAGGGGATTTGCATATAGGTAGATGTTCATAACTGCGTTTAACGCTTCTTATTTAAGACCAGTACGTAAGGTGTTTTTTTGTAAGTTCATTGCTGAAAAGCCCCTTTCAACCGCTACAGTACTCCCAGACAGAGAAAACATCAATTCCACCATGCGCAGTATATTGCTGTATTTCTAGATTAGAGAGTCATTTTAGAATTGAGGCGCTAGACTCTTGTAAGATAACAAAAATTGAAAATGCATCACGAACATTAACGGGAAAAAGGCCGTCCGCGCGGACGTCGGATTCGAGAAATTCGTTGTCCGCAGGGAATTTTTGACCGCCGAGGACGGGCGGACGGGTGGTTTTTCGAGCCCTGCTTTAGCTGATCCCTTGGAGTCATCGACGCAGCATAGCACTTTCTTAAGCAATATCCATCCTGTACACATCCTGTGATCTGGTAGAACATCTCCTGTAATAATATTTTGGTCATATGAGAGGTATAAACTCATCACGAGAGATATATATTAAAAGTAGAGATAACACACGTTTATATGGATGAGATTGGTTTGCCGTTCGCTTGACGGCTCAAATTGAATGATTGATATTGAATGATGTAACGTTTTTTTAAATGTACAGTCCCTGGACAAATTATTGGACGCACTATAAGAGTCTATGTAAAATCTTAAATTATCAGGTGATACTATACAACTTTAGTGCTTTTACGCTGATGAAACCGGTTTGTACTTGTTTACATTCGTGTATCAACTGGTTAACATTGTATTGCAATACCTAAAAAAAAAATACAAATAGGAAGTATATAAAAAATCTCCTGAATAAAAACCCCATTGCACGTATGTTAAAATATAAAAGTATTGCCTATAAACTCGTGCAAAGCATGTCATTATTAAAACACTTCAGCGCGTCTAATAATTTGGTCTAATCATTATAATATAATACCTGATATAATGAATATTCTATATTTTTTATAATTTATCGTCGAATTTATAGTATATATCGTCTAGTTTAACCAACAGTACAAGGTGGTTTCAGTAGCGTAAAAACAATAAAGCTGTGTAGTATCACGTGATAATTAAGATTTTACATAGAATCTGATAGTGCGTCCAATAATTTGACGAGGGACTGTACTGTATCAATATATTGATTAAAAAAATAGATTATTACTTGATCAAACACGAAATGAATTTAGAACGATAATAAAAGCAAAAACAAGAAATTTATTGGAAAGTGAAGGTGAGAGATCTGATCTAGTTTGATTTGGTTATAGTAGAATGATTAATTTTCTTCTGCGCATGTGCTACTGCAGCGTGATAAGTTGTCAGTTGGAATTCACCATTAATCCTTTTAAACTAAATAAGTTCCAAAAAGTGAACCTTCTTCATTCTTTTTGTAGTAGAATTTATTTTACGACAGATTGAAGTTAACAGGAGTAAATAAAAATATGACGAAAACAATTATTGCGTATAATAGAACTAAAATTTGAAATCGGTCAGAAATTGTTATGTTTCTACATAAATTCAGAATATGCACACAAAAAATTAAGACAATAACAGTAATAATTAACGCAATAGTATCTTCATTGGAATGAAGCTGGGAAATTGAATTTGGGTTTAATTTTGCAATCTAAAAAAAGACTCTTTTTTGTTTTTCTTGTGCTTTATTTTTCAGGGGATTTTATTATAGCACTTAATGTGTTATATCATGTATATTAAATGAAAAAAAAATTAGTAAAGTGTTTCAAAAAACTATTAACTGTTTTTAGGTGTAAGGGGAATTATTTAATCTGATATTTTTTAATGCACTACAATGGGTTTTGCTTTGGATTTTATGGCACCCACACACTTTTCAACTGTGTTCAAGAGTAACAGTAAACAGTGCGCATGCGTTGCTATGGTAACCACTGCTGTTTTTATTTTCATTTTCAGTAGCAGGCATTTTTAATGTATTAACATAACAATAATTTAAAGTATTTTTATATTCTTTTTATTATAAACATATAATTAATGGCTTGGCGGTGAGTTCAATATAATTATGAATGCTGAAGAAGAAAAAGTATTTTGTGACGTCTTGAAACATAGCCCGGATTTAAAAACCAATCCGACGACAAACATCAATTAAGGCGGTTTTTGCAACCTTAAAAAAATTTTTTAATCATTAATCGTAACATTTTATTTCTTTCAGGTTTTTTGAAACCAGAAATAGTAGATGATCCATACTCCAGAAAGATGCACATAGACGCCGAAAAAAGGGCTGAAAGAATCAAACGAATGTACTCCCAAATAGAAAAAGCCTCACTATCAGACTCCCTGACGAGCCATCGAAACGACGCCACGACGGAACTCTTAAATCCCAACCAGTACCAACAACAACGTCCAGAGTCGTCTGCCGAAGACGGTCACACACCTATCTTCAAACCCTACCAGCACGCCACCATCAACAGCGATAGCCCTCAGCAGTACAGCAAAGACCTGTTCTGCGATTCACTGGACAAAGGGGATGGCTATCCCAAGATGCATTGGAGGTACGCCAATCACCCGCACCACATCATGTACGGGTCACCAGGGGGCACCCTCACTAAACATTCCAAAGACCACCCTGCACCTACGAGTGCAAAGAGACCACTTTTATTAGAGTCAGACGTAGATAATCCAAAGTACAATGATTCTCATCATCAGGCAGATTACGGAGCTAGTGGTCAGTATCCTAATTTTTCATCCACGCCATTCCTACCATCACAGACTGTCAAAGCAGACATCACGTGTACAGAATCCTTCCATCCGCTGGAGGGCATTGACGAAGGACTGAAGGGGTCGTGCTTTCTGCAGCACACCGATTCGCTGGAGACTGTGGTGCACTGTGACGCTACGTCAAAAACTGAAGCACCCCTGAGAACTATCACCAAAGATGTGAGTGTCCCGTCACAGTCGTGGAATATGACCACCGTTTGATGTACAGCGTTTTCTAAAGACTACCATTTTAGTTACTGCATTTTGCTTGATTTGATTTAAAATGACATGAATCTTTAAAAAAAATGAATGGGTAATTTTTAAAAAAAAGAAATTATGAACTAAGAGCCGCATTTTTCGAAACTACAATCATATTTACTCTACTATTATGTCGAATATATTGAGAAAAAACATTACGATAAATACATTATTTTCTTTTAAATGATAATTTATTTATCCATCTACATTCCTACGAACCTAAACTAGATAAATTTAAACGAAATAAACCTATTTTAACCTAATATTTCCATCGTTTTTAAAGCATCAATGTAGTATACTAATCCATGGAAGTATACTGATCAATGGAAGTATACTGGTCAATGGAAAGACTTCATTTGATTCACGAGTGCTTTTAAATGCAAAAAATTGGACATGTTTTGAGCGCTTTTTACCAAAATGCCATTCCTTATTAAACAACTTCGATTTGTTTGCCCACGATACAACATGCATATCTGCTTTTTCGCTAATTATATGTATATATTTGGATGTTTAAATACACAAAACAAATTATTTATGTAATTGATATTCTAAGAGTAATGTCATTGAGATTAGATAAAATCTTTTTTTTTTAATTCTTATTGGAATTGTCCTTAATTTGTTTATCAAACTTAAGATCCTCATTCACCAAGGGATTGAGCCAAGAAGAGCGTTAATTTACATTCCTCAACTTAAAAGTAACTTTTGGTATTTCATGGTTACATCATTCCAACATACTTAACACGTTTGATTTAATTTTGTACATGTTTAGTTATTGTTTTGTAAAATATCCAAATACCTGGCATGTGAGAATCCACAAACAAGATTGCTGGCAGACACCCCTGTAAGAACAAAACTATCTATAACAACAATTATATATACTATATAGCTATATAGCTATACAACAGTAAAAGTAAAACTATATGTAACAGTCATATAACAACCTTTTTCCAATGTTGAAATATAGAACATTGTTCAAATTTACGCGTAAATGTTATTTGATATTACGTCGAAAATTTTCAACAAGGTTCCAAGATTTAGGATCATGTTGTACCTTGAACCTATTTTTCTTGTTGTACCTTGAACCTATTTTCCTGGAGTGCATGGCAGTGTTCGTTCGCCAAAAAATTTTAATAATACAGAAACGTATAATCTATTTCTCACAAAATTTCTAAGCTATTTGTATATTTTCTGCCAGCGTAAAAAAAATGGAAAGTGAAAATTGTTCCAAGATACACCACGTTCCCCCTTTTATGAAGCAAATGAAGTCGTTCCATTGACAATTTCTCAGGATTATTTAATTCATCTATGCAGAGTATGCCGTTATTACTGCCCTTAATATATATTTTTCAAAAATAAAGTCCAAACATTTTTTATCAAAAATGAAGTCAAAGCATAGTGCATATTAGTATTAAAATTAAGATTCATATTTAATCCAAAATTAGTGTCAAAAGAAAGGAGAAAACAAAAACTCTAACGGATTCTAACGAACCAGTATCGGGAAAGAAAGAACTGATGATATCAAAACGTGTTTGCTTGCCTGAGGAAGCAGGGGTTGAAAAGCAATTGTTAGAGTACCTCCAAGTTTAATCAGGCAATCAAACTATTTTGATGCTTTAACCACTAACTCTTTCGTAAGCGATTCTTAATATGCATACGTTTTTAACTTCATTTCTGACAAACATTCTAAAAATATATCTTAAGGGTGGTTTTTGCTAAACACCCTGATTATTTAAGTTTCGTTACAATATAATTATATAGCTACAACGAAACGATTTGTCTTATAAAAGTGATTGAATTATTTTATCCCTAATAGCATTTATAATTGTTAAGTTCTTCTAACAGTGTTAGTTGAGGAGACGATACTGGAATTGAAAATTCTGAATTAGGGTTGAGGAAATTTTTAATATAATTTTATCCAGTCGTCGTGTTCTCTAAAACAATTCAATAAATGCCTCAACAGCTTAAAATGGCCCATTTATAATTCTGACTGTTTTTATTCAAAATAGCTAATTACAAAATTTATTTACGACATACTTCAGACATGCTCATTTATTTGCTGTTTTTCTTTTACTTTTGGACAATTTATTTCAATATGAACAGCCGAATTACTGTTGCTTCTCGATATAAGTAAACAATGTAATAATAATTTAACAATGTTATATAAGCAAACAATGTTAATATCTAGTCAAATTTTTAGCCCTTTGGGTGTTCTGAAACAGTTTGTACATTTCTTAGTTTGTTTACATTTTTTTTCTATTCAATTACAGGAAAATACTCAGGTGAAAGTTTCGATTTATAACTCAAAGGGCTAAGCGTAATTAAGAATTGTGATTTTTCAACCTCTTATATTGTGACAATTCACCCATCTCTTAACTGTGTCACAAACTGTTAATTCGAATTCAATAATTCAAACACAAGTGTTGCAATATGAATTGCCCATTTTAAACAAATATGCTTTTCCTTTTTGTTAATAATACTGTCTTTTAAAAAGTGCAACTGAACTGTTTTTGTTTACCAAATGCTCCGTTTATTAAAAAACCGTAAGAACCCCTGCGGTTTTAGGTGTTCTACGTTCAGTTTAACGCTAAGTTTTGTTTTTCGCGAATTATGAACTTAAATCTAAACACTTACCCTGAAATTTTTAAAAACATTAAAAAAGAACTTAATTCAAGCGAGGTAAAAAACAGTGTCCAATTTCAATTTACTATATATCGATAAATTTAATGTATATCGTTAACATCGTCGTATATATATCGTCGATAAATTTAATATATATTTAATATATATCGTGATAAATTTAGTATATATCATTAACGAGAAAAACTAATTATTTATGTCTTCTTATTGTATCACAAATTCTTCACTCCTGAGTTTAATTTTATTTATATTTTATTTACAGATTTTATTTTATGTACGGATTATTTTTAAAATCCGAATAATCGTTTATTTAGTAACGATATACATAATAGCAAAATGTTCTGACGTAAAATTAAAATAATTATATATTTTATTAACAAATTTATCTTTGTTTCTTTTTTTTTTTAAATATTTCGACTTTTAAAGGAAAAAACAATGATAAATGAGAAATAGGGGTGGAGGTAAGGGGTCAGTCATGGGCCGTCACAGCAATGCGATATGGAATGGAAAAAAAAGACATCAAATTTAACTAAATAAGTTATTTTGCTTATGAATAAATTTTTACAACTTAAGTGTCATAATTTATTCAAAACAAAAGCAGCTCAGTTGCATTAGTATGGGATATGATTACTATGTATAGCTAAAAACTTTTAAATTTTTTTTAAAAATTTTATTTTTTTTAAATAAAAAAAATTTTTATTCTTCAAAATGTTGTTTAACTTCCCACGCATTCTTAAGTAATAAATTTTAAATTATATAAATACTATGGTAGTACTAAATCATCGTGTATGTTAAACAAAATATAAATTTAATATTAAAGCGTTAATTTTGGAACTGCGTAAAAATACTTTACAAAAAAATGTGTAAAGTCTTAACAGCTGTGCCCTACGTATTCTTTTTATTTAATAAATAAATGTCATATTGTATTCAAATCAAATCAGTCAACATTTAAATTCGTAAAACTCCGTCCTTTGAAGAAGTGCAAACAAAAGTGCTTATTTCTTTCCAAAAATATATTCAATATTGGCATTCAATTTTTCTTTTAATTAAAAAAAGTAGAGATAGAAATCACTTAAAACAGATTAAATATTTTATTTTAAATCAATAAGTCAATCATATTTTTTTTTCAGTTTTTAAAATTGATTTTTTTTTAAAGTTGCTGTCTCATTTATGAGGAAAAACGTCGCTTGCTTCTGTCTAAAGTAATTTAAAAAATTTCCAAAACGGCGTTGAATGTAATAAAATACAGGGTGTTAAAAATTTAAATAATTTTCACGCGGGCTTGCACAACGAAAGCCCCCTTTAAAAATAAGATTTCTGGTCCCAAATTGCTCATTTTGTCTCTTGTTATTGCATTATTTTCCTACGACTTAGCGATGTAACAGTAATTACATTTTGCATACGTTCACTAACTTTATTTGTTGTAAAATGTAAATATTTGTTTTTCGGTATAAGCATTCATATAATTTTAAATATATATTTATATTTCGCTTATTGAAATTGAGGCTATAGCAACAGCTTTAATGAGGCATTGTGAACACTATTGCCAATCTAACTCTAAAACAAATCATGCGTACATTTTTTTACTATAAAGTATTTAAAAATGTCATTTTTAAAACTTGCTGTGAATCTAATTTCATCTGTATATTCGTTGGAATGATCTATATGTCATAAGTAAATTGAATAACTTTACAAATAGCCGCTTTCAATTTGTAAAACGACAGGCCATTAGAAAAATATCCACTACTTCATTATTAGCCTGACGCATTTTAGGCTTATGGCTGTAAGCTTTTAGGTTAATTAGAATATTCACCGCTCAATTAACCAAATTTTTTTCCGGCCATGAACCCAGAGTATTTATTTTAAATAGCCTTATAAAAGGCTTATTACAATAGGTCCAAACAAATTAATTTTGATTGAATTCTTAGCATATTTATAAAAGTACCCTTTGTGAGCAGAATACACGTTACACAATTTCCTCACACTCCACACTTTTCCCCTAATCGTTACCATGGTTACCGGCAAGTCCATTGCCGAAATCACTGTAATAATGTCCTTATTGTATTTACAAAAAGTGTAGGCAGGTTGTTAAGAGCCTAAAACGAATAAAAAATAATTACTTTTCCAATTAGTTTAGGGCATTGCAAAATACTGGCAACATTTGCAAAGAACTGGATTTTTTCATTTAACTTATGGCATATATAAATCACCCAACAAAATAAATAATTATAAACAGTATTAAACATATCTGCTCAATGTGTATTTATATATCTTGTATGTTTACATGAAATTTCACTTATTTCAAACGATGTTTTTTAAGAATGCATAACGTAACAGTGGTTAAGAACTCGATCAAAAAATCTATCCTATACTCAATAAACATTGAGAAACCTTACTCGTTCTACAGTATTATATTTTAGATTTGTAAATATTTTATATACTTTGTTGAATTTAGATCATAATTTATATAATAACGAAGGTTGTGTAATAGATGCTATGTTACAATGAAACTGAATTTAATGTCGTCCGTCCAACTTTTTTTGTTGTTCTTTTTTGTATGTACTTTGGCATGGTGCAATTATCCATTCCTTTAGCTTTATCGTTATTTTAGAATGTGCTAAAAGTTTAGTTTTTATGAGTACAAAGCCGCCAGTCACTTACTTATAACATTGAAGTGTGATGCATCGTCTTTATTTTTTAAATAAATTGTTTGAGTTGCATCATCAAAACTAAAAAGGGACATCGGCTTGAAAAGATACAAGTTTTTTTTTTGTTTTCTTTAGATCTTTGCAAGGGGTCATTCAAATACTGCGTTACTGCCTAATTTATGGGCCTATTTTGTTTATTTTTGCCCGAGCAATGCAATATATAGTTCGTTCACCAGAAGTTGGCACTTGGCTCCACATCCTCGGATGAAGAGTTCACTTCAGCGCGGGAGTAAGAGGAGAAACGTCTCCGCGCTTGAAATTGAGACTACCCTTAATGCGAGCCATACGCAAAAAGTTATTTTTCAAACACATACTTCGCTATTACACCTTTCGTTGTTCTAGCTAATTAAATATATTGCAGCAAAATGTCTCGAAAAGGACAAACTATTCACTCAAATGAGAGAAATATCATCAAATTTATGAAATATTTAATGTTAAAAAAATGCGCATAAAGATTGCTAAATTAATGATTTTGTCATACTATAGCCAAATAGCAACCTTGTTCAGGATTGAACGAATAGTATTGCCGGATACCACGTGATTAAGTGCCAACTATTGGTGAACGAACTTTTTAGTGTCTTAGGACTACCTGGTCTTTTTAATGACTTCTCCGCGGGGGATTCTTTAGTGTCTTACGGCTGAAAGAAAGGAATAAAATCAACTTATTTTGTGCGTATTACGAGAACAAGGGGTATGAACTATGTTTATACGAAATGCTAAATTCTTTTTAGTGTCATGACGAATGAAATAGATTTATTTTTAGTGTTCTCTGACTTACGACAAAAAAAAAGGTTCTAAGTAGTAACTTGCTTTCATTATTATGAAATTACTCATAAATTATTAAAGTAATTAATTTTAGAAAAAACATATTTTGACAACAAAAAAAAACCTTATGTAAGCATTGGGGAAAACGATATTCTTATTTTTTTTTAAACTTTCTTAATATTTAATCTTCCTTATTTCGAAAGAATTAGAAAAATCACTAACAATATGCTGACCTAACCTTTGAATGGCCCCCAATTACCGGGATAATTGTTGCATTCATCGATAATTTATTTAAAATCACAATTTTTACAAAACTTTCGAAAACAATTTTAAAGAGTTTTTTTTTTAATTGCAAGCATATAAATGGAAATATGAATTGAAAAAAAAAATAGAAACATGAAAGTAGATTTGAAGTTTTTACATTTTGGTAAGTTTATCTTGTTAATGTAAACTTATTGCATTCTCATGTATTAATAGATGCATCAGTTTGAGTTTTGTACGTTACAGTGACTTGTAATTAAAGTACTTAAAATCATTTAAATTATACTCCCCTTTTGATTGAACCAGGATGAGATTCGCCATTTTATTTTTTTTATCATGAAAATTGTGATAAAAGTTGTTGTTTTTTATTAGTTTCAATCTTTTACATCTTACTCGATTTTGCCTCGTGAACGGCTAACATAACTTCAAATATCTTCAATTCGAATATTTTCAAGATTTTTTAAATCATTTTTCCATGAAACTTTAATTTTGCGACTGCTGTTTTTATTTAATATTTGCGAATGTTTTACTCATTAAAACCAAACATAATATTTGCAAGAAAAATTTTATGATATATCTATTAAAGTGATTTTTTTTATGAAATAATATGTTCTTTTTACGTTTCATCGGTTGTCCCGAAAATAATCGAAAATTTTAAAAATTCAATTAAAGAAAAACAAGGATAGAAATGTACGATATCTTTCCATCTGCACAAAAACCAAATAATTGAACTTTAAGTTTTAAAATTAGTTAGTATTAAGTTTATAAACAGTACGTGAAAATATAAGACAATATATAATATTCAAAATAACTACCTTTAGTAGTCATATTGAGGACAAAATTAATAAACGCCCATTTAAATACTTCAGTTGGAACAATTAGAAAAATCGGTTTAAAGCTTTTCCTGCCATCTGTTGACGAAACTTGAAACTAATTTTGAAATTTGTTGATAAAAAAAGAAAAAACCTATTTTCTCAAGTAGGATAGAGCAAATCGCATATTTTTTTAACCGATTTTCAAGTCGTTTATTACTTTTGGAATTCCGTTAAGTTAATAGTTTCTTTAACTATCTACCACTTTGGAAAAAAAACTAGCTGGGTGATTAGGAGCTAGCTTATAATTCGGAACTTTTCAAATACAGAATACCAAAATTTAATAAACGACTTTTTTTTTTATCATATCAATCTATCTGATTATTTTTGTTTGTATTTTTTTTATTAAAATTTATTTATACTCATTGTATTTTATATGATCAAACCGATGTCCTTTTTTAAATTTTATTCAGTGCATTTTCTTATAAGTGCAAATTTTTGAACTGGTCGAATGAAATAATTTAAGTCACAAAGAATTATGTGTTTTGTTTGATTTTGTAAAGAGATTATTATGATTAAATGTATGTGAAATTTGTAATATTCATTGTATGCCTCTATTAAACGAATNAATCATTTAAATTATACTTCCCTTTTCATTGAAACAGGATGAGATTCGCCATTTTATTTTGAAGTAATTTTATCAGGAAAATTATGCTAAAAGTTTCTTCTTTTTTTTTATTAGTTTTAATATTTTACATCTTACTCGATTTTGCCTCGTGGCGGCTAACATAACTTGTTAAGTTATTTCAGAATTCAATTCAGAATATTTTCAAGATTTTATTTAATCATTTTAACATTAAACTTTAATTTTGCGTCTGTTTTTTTTTTAAATTTAATAATTTCAAGCGTTTCACCTATTAAAAACAGACATAATATGTGCAAGAAAAATTATATGATATATCTATAGCAGTGAATTTTGTTTTTCAAATAATGATGTTCTTTTTACGTTTCGTCGGTTGTCCCAAAAATAACCGAAAATTTTGAAAATTCTATTAAAGAAAAACAAGGATAGAAATGTGCGATTTCTTGCGATCTGCACAGAAAACCGAATAATTTAACTTCCAAGTTTTAAAATGAGTTACTATTAAGTTTATAAACAGATAACGCACTACGAGAAAATATAAAACAATATATAATATTCAAAATAACTACCTTTAGTAGCCATATTGAGGTCAAAATTAATAAAATGCCCATATAAATACTTCCATTGGAACAATTCGAAAAAATAGTTTTAAAGTTTTTTCTGCCATCTGTTGACGAGACTTGAAACTAATTTTGAAATTTGTTGATTAAAAAAAGAAAAAGAAAAAACATATTTTCTCAAGTAGCAAATTGCATATTTTTTTAACCGATTTTCAAATCGTTGATTACTTTTGGAATTCCCGTTAAATTAATACTTTCTGTTACTATCTACTTTGAAAAAATAAAAACTAGCTGGGTGATTAGGAGCTAGCTTATAATTCGGAACTTTTCAAATACAGAATACCGAAATTTAATAAACAACGTATTTTTTTTATCATATCAATCTATCTGATTATTTTTGTTTGTATTTTTTTTATTAAAATTTATTTATACTCATTGTATTTTATATGATCAAACCGATGTCCTTTTTTAAATTTTATTCAGTGCATTTTCTTATAAGTGCAAATTTTTGAACTGGTCGAATGAAATAATTTAAGTCACAAAGAATTATGTGTTTTGTTTGATTTTGTAAAGAGATTATTATGATTAAATGTATGTGAAATTTGTAATATTCATTGTATGCCTCTATTAAACGAATGATTAAGTTATTTTAGACTACAAAGTGTAATTAAAGTTTATTTTGACAAAAAAAAAGATGTTAAAACTCAATTAATTATAAATCAATAAAATTACTTGATATATGTCAAATATATAATTTAGTACAAATTTTGTCTTGTTTATTTTGGTTATTTCCAAATTTCAAAACTAGACAAGACTGTAAAAATTATTTGGTATACTTTCAAAATTGGATTTAAACCAAATAAAATCATTATTTAACTAATTTTTGAACCATTTCCAATTAAAATTTTCCAATTTCCCGCATGTCGCCAAGCATTTAAAATGTATTTATTTTTGCTTAAGTATTTGAATTAAAGCAACGACCAATTAAATTACAATCAATAACAAAATATTTCGGATCATCATGTTTCGAAAATAAACACAAATGGAATGCCTTTAATCGTTATATTTTTAATGATTAGTATAATGATATATTCTGTCATTAAATATATTACTCTAATTTACTTTTTGAAAACTTACAAATTTCTTTAAATCCCTAAATAATACAAAACATATACACTAAAGATCTCAAAAGATTTATTAGACGCACTGTAAGATTCGATGTAAAATCTTAATTACTCAGGTGATACAATACAACTTTAATGTTTTTACGCTACTGAAACCGGTTTACACTTGATTATATCCGTGTATTAATTGGTTAACATAGTAATGCAATACGTTAAAAATAAATGCTAATGGGAAGTATATAAAAAAATCTCCTCTATAAAAACTCATTACATTTATGTTTAAATATAAGAGTATTGCCTATAAGCTCGTGCAAAACATGCAATTATTATTAAAACACTACAGTGCGTCTAATATTATAATATAATATCTGATATAATAAATATTCTATATTTATATAATATATCGTCTAATTTATCCAATTGTCGAATTTACATTATATATCGTCTAATTTCACCAATTGATACACGTACGTAAACAAGTACAAACCGGTTTCAGTCGAATAAAAACAATAATGCTGTATAGTATCACCTTATTTATTAAGATTTTACGCAGACTCTTACAGTGCGTCTAATAATTTATCCAGAGACTGTATATAGATAATGGAAGGTCAATAAGTGGACAATGCTGACCGAATAGATATATCAATACCGTTGGGCTCAAAATTATGACCTCTTCGGTTTTGCTTTACTTTTCATAAAATATGTTATAACCAAACAATTTTATTAAATTTTTTAATACAAATGGATAAAGGAAATCAATTCTCTAACAGCCCTTTGTGGGCCAGAGGTTAAGTTTCCACAAATTTCGTGATCAATGGCATGATTCGCAGAAGCAGTCTTTACATTTCACACAATATGGTACTTATCGACTTGAAGCTGGGTGGAACTCAAGCCACGGCTGAGGATCGAGCCCTGGTCCTTTACAATGATAGCTCATTCTCTTAACCACTGATCCATCTTAGCTTAAAATTAATGAATTCAAATTTACCAAAATTTATAAATAATTTAAAAAATGCTAACATATTTCTTAACACTAAGAAATACTACTTGGATCGAACTTAAGATTTAAGGAATATAGATGATACGAACTTAATTACTGCATTCATAAAATTTCAAAGAGAAAAATTGAAAATAATAAGAATCGATTATACGAACTTATTCATAAAATTTCAAAGAGAAGAAGAGGAAAAAATTAAAAAATAATTTATACCGAAAATCAATTCTTGTTAGCTTATGATTCTCTTCTAAATTCAATACTAAATGTCAAGATCAGTATTTAATTAGTTTCTATACATGTCAGATTGACAATTAACTTAGAAATATTACTTGGATCCAACTTAATATTTAAAGAATGTAGATTATACGAATTTCATAAAATTTTAAAGAGAAGAAAAAATTTAAAAATAATTTATACTGAAAAACAATTCTTGTTAGCTTGTACATGTCAGTTTGTTAGTACATGTCAGTTTGACAATTAACTTAGACAGCCAAAACCATCAAAAAACAGTTTCAAAAAGTTTGCTAATTTTATCGCCCTTCAATATCTACTGAAATTTGTGAGAGATACAAAAAGTTATGGACTAAGCTTTAAGAGAGATACAAAAAATGACGTATACGGAACATTATGGACTAAACTTTAAGAGTTGATCAAAGCTTAGTCCATACATGTTAAGCAAACAACTTTTATCAAAAAAAAGAACCGCATGTTCAGGATTAAAACTCAAATCAGCTAGATGGCGCCACAAGTAACAATGGAGATACAAGGTAAAATCACACAGAGAACAACGATAAAATGACAAATGCAAGTTTAATGATAAGTGTTCAAAAGTTGACTATAATTGTTCTATAATAGAATTTAGCTGTAAGTGTTCGAAAAAAGTTGCGGTACAAAGGCCTGGAAGGATAGGCGAGCATTCTGAAAAACTCCAGGTATCCCTGCTGCAATCGAAAATCTGGCGATGAGGTTTTTTGGGTTTTTTGATGGATTTAATTTGGGATTGAATGCGTGAAAGTCAGCAGCTACACCTCCTCCCCCCCCCCAAAAGAGAGATAGAGAACTGACGAGCAAGTTGAAAAGGCCACAAAACAATTTTTCACCCTCATCGACATGACACGCCTTTTACTGAAGACTTAACAAAATTACATACTTTTTGACATAGCATGCCAGCTCATTGCCTAAATCTCACTAAAATATGATTCAACAAAATCAGGGCATCTTCGATCGTGAATTGTTATCCAAGCCATAATAATAGGATTGTATAAAAAATAGGATTAAAAAACTGCATACAAATAGGATTATTTTATTTTATTTTAAAACAGTCGTAAACCCAATTTTATGGGTTTACGACTACTCGTGTTCAACTCCGTAGCCTTGTCATTTTGAACCCAATCCGGAAGACAAGGGAACTCCTGGATCGAGTATTGGGAGAAATTTGCCTCCGTTCAGGAATTTTTGATAGAGCTAACCCGCATTTGCGTTACATGGAGAGGGAAACCACGAGAACCTCTTACGGTTAGCCTGACGGCAAGGGGACTCTAACCCGTGATCAGCTTACCACTGAGGATATTTCATGGCAACACTGTGGTCGGTGCAAGCAGGATGCGGAATTCGTATCGACTAGCCATCTCTGGAATTCGAACCCGGTTCACCTCATTGGAAGGCAAACCGTTTATCTCCTGAGCCATCACGGCTCAAAATAAAGAGTCAATGTAAGAGTACAAAAAAATCACTTTAAATGCCCATATCTTGCGCGATTTATAAGGAATTTTCTTCAAATTTTAAAACAATATTTTATATTATCAATTAAAAATTACTCTGAAAATTTTTTTGAATTTAATTTAATATTTCTGCAGCTATAGTAAGAAAAGATAAATCAAAAAAATTTGTTTTTTTTTTTATATAGCCCTGTCCCTATAAATATTTAAACTAGATTAACAAAATTTTGTGTTATCATTTCAAAAGATAATCAAAGTAATTGATATGAGTTACAAGCTTATCGTTGCATGTTATGGCATAGGGTGTTGAAGAATATACTTTTTCATTTACAATTCATTACCGGTCCCTCAAATATCTAAAAGCTTTAAATTTTATTGGTATGTATGAGAAATCGCATGACTTAAGAACGTCTAAAGTTAAGAAATAATTCCTTAAGTATTGAGAAATATGAAAAATAGAAACTACTAACGGTTTTCATTATTTTGTCCAATCCCTGTATGATTCTGTAGAAAATGCGATTTAAGTATGGAAAAATCGTGTAAATGTTGCTTTTGC